AGGAAGGATCTGACAAAGGAGGTAGAGAGCTGGTTCTTAAATAGACTTTGGCACAGGCTTCTCTGTACCAGGAATCTTCTGTGTGCTCTATTTTCCCTAATGAAAAATCGGGGCATTGCATCATAACAAAGTATTGTAAGGTTTGCACAGATTATTAAACAGTCTGAGACTTCTGGAGGGAATTTCAAAAGGAATGTGTATTCTCAAATATCCAGCATTTTATCTGACAGAATTTATATTTCCTATCATAGTTTTCCTATCATAGGGCATGGTATTAGGAGGAAGGAAAAAAACAAAGAAAATAAAGAAGGGTGGGCTTGAGGGTGACTTCGAAAGAATTCTAGCTATATTTATTCCCTGTTCCCTTGTACCTCTTGCTGCTGGCCATGTTGACAGGAAGATTCTTTTAAATGACACAATCAGGTGGGTATAGAGGACTAGAAGGAAATATTGCCCAAGGTCAGAAGCCTTTCCTGGGCTGTCCTTGAAGCTGTTAGAATATTTCACTTATTAGATGAATCTTTAAGGCTTTCTTTTCTTTTCCCAAGCAATCATTTTCTAAGGGCATTAACTGTGGCAAAATTATTGATTTAGAAGTATTAAGAAACTCAACTTTAAATTTATACCACAAGAATTTATAAAACCACAGAAAAAGCTTAACTTAAAAAAATTTTACAGGGGCGCCTGGGTGGCTCAGTCGTTAAGTGTCTGCCTTCGGCTCAGGTCATGATCTCAGGGTCCTGGGATCGAGCCCCATGTCAGGCTCCCAGCTAAGTGTCGAGTCTGCTTCTCCCTCTTCCTCTCCCCCTCCCCCTGCTCACGCTCTCTCTCTCTCTCTCTCTCATAAATAAATAAATAAATTTTACACAGCCTAATTCTGCCTACCTTTACTTTGGTTGTCTAGTTTTCTCTTGAATTATTTAAATAACTTACCATATTCTTTGGCTGGAAATGTAACTCCCTCCTTGCTGATATAGCATATATATTTTTTTTTAACTTTTTATTTATTTATTCATGAGAGACAGAGAGAGAGAGAGAGGGGCAGAGGGAGAAGCAGGCTCCCAAGGAGCAGGGAGCCTGATGCGGGACTCGATCCCAGGACCCTGGGATCATGACCTGAGCCGAAGGCAGACGCTTAACCATCTGAGCCACCCAGGTGCCCTGATATAGCATATATTAATGAGATTTGTTATTGACTCTTCTAAACTACCCAAATGCATCTTTTTTTAAAAAATTTTTATTTATTTATTTGACAGAGAGAGAGAGAGAGAGAAAGAGCGTGAGCACAAGCAGGGGGAGCAGCAGAGGGAAAGGGAGAAGCAGGCTCCCCACTGAGCAAGGAGCCCGATGCAGGACTTGATCCTAGGACCCTGGGATCATGACCTGAGTCGAAGGCAGATGCTTAACTGACTGAGCCACCGGCGCTCCCAAATGCATCTTTTAAAAGAAGTTTTCCGCCACTGTGTCCAGCTGTAAGAGGTGCAAGAGAACAAGGAAATACAACTGGAATTCTCTCAGTCACTCTCAAACTCACCCTTCCTTACTTTCTTTGTAAGTCTTTTCCTTCCTTCCACAAGTAAACAAAAACATGTATTAGTGCACATATAGTATCTTGCTATGTATTTACTATACCTCTTCCTAGAAGATAGTGTGTGAGATGAAGAACATCAGAGTTCAGGGTCAGAAGACCTGAGACTGACCATGATTTTCGACAAGCCACTTTACTGAGCTTTCATTTACTTATTCATGAAATGGTGATAATTTTCCTCTCTGACATTATCTCATGTATGGGAAAGACATGTAAGAATGCAGACATGTTTGCAGACAGTCAATATAAACAACCCAATGAAACAAACTTTCTCTGCTTTATAGAGTTTAAATTCATAAGGAAAGGACAAAGAAGATTTTTCAAAGTCTAGTCTTATTTATAAAGAATCATTCACATGTCTTCTTTGTAAACATATAGCTTCTTTATGCTTTTAATAATGAAACTGGGGGGGAAATCAGTTCAGTTGAACATGCAAATAGTTTTATCAACACAGTATTTGCAGAGAAAGAAAGTCATTTAATCAAAATATCCCAACACTGAATTTCACACTTAAACCCACATGCAGATTGTAGGATTATGTTACAGAATGTTTTGACGGAATGTGTTAAAAATAAAAATAATTCAATGCAATTTCCATTTAGCACATTGTACAAAACTCATTCTTCAATAGAATTAACAAGTTTACAATCTTTCTCATAAGGTGCTATATATTCAAAGTGCTCTGTAGCATTGAGGTTGAGATCAGGAAACAAATACTGTCGGGCTCCACAGTAATGCAGCTCAGTAATAAATGAAATTAGATATACTATAGATGAAACCCACTCATAAAACCTAAGACAGACAATGGCGATCTGTGGTGTGCTGTGAGAGGTGCTCATCCTTGTGGAGGGGGGCTGGAAGATGTCATAAACACATCATTACGGTCATAATAAAAATAAGCTTCAAGATGAATCCATCACTTTTAGAGTGAGTACCCTTTCCTAGAGAAAAGGAGAAAAATAGAGACACAGAAAAAGAGACAAAGAGAGAAAGTTCACAATGCTTCTGCAATCCGTTTTCCAACTGAGACTAATCCTCAGTACAATCCAGAGTCCACGAGAGCAGTTCCATAGAGTACATCAGAATTACCTGGAGGGCTTATTAAAACACCCACTGGGAGGCCCCAGCCACAGAGTTTCCAATTTAATAGGTGTGAGGTGAGGGCGGGAATGAGGATTTTTGGAGCTGTTCCAGGGGATGCTGACATCCTCATCAAGGGACCACATTTTGAGAACCACAGGTCCATTATATCTTTGATCATTCAAGGACTCCTTTATTAAAATGCAACATACCTATAAAGATAATATGCCTGGTCCCTAGGGGCCTAGAGTGTAGGGCAGTCAGCATAGATTATACGATGATTTAGGGCAGCAGTCCTCAATTTTAGCTACACAGTAGAATAAACCGAATTTAAAAACACACACAAAAACCCCAAAAAACAAAACACCTGACGTCTAGGCCCATCTAAAACTAATTAAACCCAAATCTCTGTGGGCCAGGGGGCCAGGGGTTGAATCATTCATGAAAGTGCTCCACGCAAGTCTAATGTGTAGTCCAGCTGGAGAATCGCTGCTTTAGGAAATTTTGTTTCACCTCCTCATGGGAGAAAAGATGGCCAAACATATGTGCCCTTTAGAGTACTGGTATAGGAACAAAGACGTCTTCAAGGAAATCAAAATCCCCAGTAGGCACACTGATGCACAGCTATTTCTAGTAATATCAACGGGTAATTTAGAAAGTGATCCTGACTGTTGATTTACAACGCCCTGCAAGGTTAGTTCACAGGTTTGAAATAACAGAACTTGGACAGGTGAGCAGCACACTAATTTAATCCAAGTTTCTTTTCCATCAAACGACATCAACCAAAGAATCCGGAGTCTAGAATGTTGATGTATGTGCTGACGTGCAATGTTTACCTGCTATAATTATTGTTACTCATTTCAGTCAGCTAAATTATTTACTACTTTGATTTACATTTGAATGGACCTATAAATAAGGCCCCCAGGGACAAAATGCCACAAGCATTTAAGTCTACCTTAGAAAGCAAAACGACAGAAACACATACAAAAAAAAAAAAGCAAAGGGCATTTTGAAATAAGATTGCCACTGTACTCTTCTGGCATAAATAGGATGAATAAATATTTCTAAGTGTAAGTGAATCTACATGCCATAGAATCCCTTTCTGGAAGGATTTACAGGGTTGGTGCAATCTTTAGTACTGAGTGTACACGGAAGGACCTTCAGAGCTCATTTTCACAAACCAAGTCATTAAAGCCCCAAGCCACAGACTTTAAGTAAAACTCTAATGTATGAGACCGGAACTAATATTTGATTATAAATAAAAAAAGGAATTTAAACTAACCCCAGATGTGAGGACCGAGCCTTTCGGGTGACCTTTGGTAAAAGTCAAACATTTGAAAACTATCAATTGGATTTGAATAGAGATACGTTAGCTATGTTGAGTACCTAACAGCCTCACAGTCCTCCATTAGGAACCGCTGCCCCTAAAGAGGGTCCTACAGATGGATCCAGTTATTTTCAAGGTGCTCACTGTGCTCCTGACCAGCACTGCTAGACAGGGAACCAGCTCAGACAAGCACGAGGATTTAAAAAAAAAGGTAAAAATCCAAAGTTCTAAGTGAGATGCTTGGGTTAATCTTTCTCCAGTCTTTAAATCTTCCAGAAGACATCTCTCAAATATCCTGAAAAATAATAAAAAAGGATAGAACTGTGCATAAAATCACTCAGGATAGTAGAAACTGGGCGCTAGGAATATGAGGGCATCAGGGAAATAGCAGGAATACAGGAAATGCTAAAAATAATTTGGCCTTTAGTTACAACCTGCACTATTTTACATATATTTTTATAATGTGTATGCATTTTTCATGTTTTATAATTTATGCTGTGTATATATTAAACTTCACAAAAACTGCAGAAATGAAGGCATAGAGCCCATTTAAAGGTAAATAATCACAGCCACCCTTTTAAACACCAAACGGGAAATGAATTTGGGAATAGAGTTTGATTCTTTTTGTCTGTGGTATGTCCCTGTGGCCCATTCTCTCTATTTCATCGCCGGGGCCCTGGAAAGGAGACATGGATTTCACCTCTTCAGAGAGCTGTGCTTGCAGAGCAGAGAACATGACTTAGGGGTGCAAAAGGAGTAGAAGTGGGTCCCTGTGTGTGCGTTGGCCCCACCACGGTCTTCCCCAGCTCCTGTCTTCAGGGGCTTGCCGCCAAGCAGCATAGAATTGAGAACTGACCCCGCTGGGGGCAGCTGTATGCAGGGACTGATGAAGGTTTGAGCCTGACCAAAGGGCAGGGAACCTCAGGTGGGGACTCTGTTTAATCCTGCAAACAGAGCGGGCTTAAACTCACCTTCTGCCCCAAGTCTCTTAGGCCTTCGTGTTGTTCAAGGAGACATCTGCGTTTGCACCTGCTCTTTTTCTCTTTGCACTGTAAGCTCTCGCCTCTCTTGGCTTTCCGTGTAATCAGGTTTTACAGGGAGCGTTTGCACGCCCTGGAGACTCTCTCCCCTAGGCTCCGACTTTCTCCCTCGGGACACTCCTGGGCTGAATTCTTCGCCCGCATCCAACTCCCGCCCTTCGTCTCCGCTCCCCGGGCCGAGCTCCTCTCCCACGGCCTCTGCCCGCGGCGCGGTTTCAGTTCCCCCGCCCTCTGGATCCTGCCCTAGCTGAGGGGCCTGGCCTCCCGGGCCTGAAGGTTCTCGTGGAGCCCCCACCTCAGCCTCCGGTGCCCAAGTCCCCGGCACCTCCTCCACCGCCGGCACCTCCTCCACCGCCGGCACCTCCTCCACCGCCGGCACCTCCTCCCTGCTCGGCGCTCTTTCCCCTGCCACCACCTTCTCGGCAGCTGCCGGTTTCCCTAGTAACTTCTCCACTTTGTGCCAAGTTTCCTTGCCAGCAACATCTGGCAGGGAGGAGGCTTTATTTGCCCCTGTTTTCCCCTCAGCTGTCTTCAAATCTGCCAACACCTCCCTCTTCTCTGCGGCCGCTCCTGCCGCTTCTTCTCCTTGGTGGAGATCTCCCTCCGCCACCACCGCGCCTCCTTGCAAGCTCCCGTCCCCCTGCGTGTCCCCGTCCCTCCTCACTCCTGTCCCCGGAGCGCACTCTTTATCTGCCTCCGCATCCCCAGCTTCTTCACTCAGCTTCTCTGCCATCGCGGAACCTTCCTCAGAAACATCTTCTTGGGTCACCGCTGTGACCTCCGCTCCTTGCTGCCTTTGCAAAGGCCCTTCCCCATCCCCTCCTTCCAGTCCGGCGAGGCCATCTTGATCTTCGGCCGCGCACTCCCGGGCCCCACCTGCGGCTGCGATCTTCGCTTCCGGTGCCCGCCCCTTTCCTGCTAGCTCCGTTTCAGGAGCTCCTGACACACTCTCCCCCTCAGGGCCCGGCCCCTGGTCCGGCCCCGACGGAGCCCCGTTCTCCCTGGGGAGCAGCTCGGCTCTGCCTTTGTGCTCTGGGTCCCAGGCTTCTCTCAGGCTTTCCCCTCCTTCCTGTTTCTTCAGAGCAGTTGTGTTTTCCAGTGACTCTTCATACCCAGGTGACGCTTCAAACATGGCTTCCCCCCTCTCTCTCAGTGAATCTCCCCCTTGCGGCCCTGCGTCGTCAGTCAACTCCAACGGCCCCATGGCTGCTTCACCCTCGGCATCACACTCCATTTCATTTTGGGAGACTTGTGTCTCTTCCTCAGGTCTCACTTCCTTCGCGGTTTCCTGCTCTTCCCCTTTAAACTTGTGCTCTTCTTCTAAAATGTCTTCACCCAGCCGTGCATTTGCCCTGGTCACCTCTCCCCTCTCAGATTCAGTGTCCTCCGGAGGTGATTCTGGCCTCTCAGCTTTCGTCCTCTCTCTTGCTACACCTAATTCCTCGGGTAGCATTTCTTTCTTGTCATCTTCTTTATTAGATTCTGCCTCAGTCCCAACCTCCTCCCTTTCAGCATCTTCCTTACAAAGCTCTTCCAGGCTGTCCTCCGAAAGCCCCGTCGGGGCTGCCTCAGCCTTCTCCCAAGTTGAGGAGCTCAAGGGTGTCCGCGGTCCCACAGCTGCCTTCCTGTCTTCGGCCGGTTCCTCTCCCCCGAGCACTGCCTCTTCTGAACCAGCTTCTCTCTCAGAGGCAGCATCTCCCGCGGCTCCCAGGTCCTCCAGGTCTGTAGATGCTTGCCCTTCACTGTTCACCTCAGGCTTTTCAGACCCTGCAGCACCCACGGCCTCGCCTCTCTCTGCCTCTCTCTCCTCTAGTGTCACTGCCTCCCTCCTGGCTGCTGCCTCCTGAATACGCTCTGAGTCTAGAGCTGCTGCCTCACGTGCAAGCACTGCCTTCTGGGAGCCCCGCTCCTCCTCGGCAGCCGCCTTCTCAGTCTCCAGCACTGTGGGCAGCAAGGCCGCCTCTTCAGGAGCCTCGTCTCCTTTCAGACCTCCAGAGGCTCCGGTGGCTTCTTTTCCCCTGGGGCTTAACTCCTCTTTATCCAGCCTTGGATCCCCTCCTGCTTCTGCCTCTGCCCCACTTGCTATGCCCCGAGGGATCTCTCTTTCCTCAGTAAATTGTCCTATTAAAGCTGGGGCTGTTGACTTCCCCTCCCCCAAGGGAACATCATTAACCCCTGCTTTTCCCCACTGGGCTGCACCCCCTTTCTCTTTGGTTGTGTCAGCATCCCTGTGCTGGGGAAGTCCATCCCCCTCCACTGCTTCTTTCTTCTCCAGTGTGTACACTTCCGATGCACCTTGCTTGGATTCCGTGTCTGAGCTGAGTGTTGCTCGTTCCTCGAAATTCCTGTGTGGTGCTATAAAATGAGGTTAGAAAACACGGTTACTTTAATCAAAGTGCCCAGGGAGGAGATATTCTATATAACCATATATGAGATATATATAATATCAAGAAGCTATTGATATTATATATAAAACATTTCCTCAATCCTATGATGCCATCAACTATAACATGCACCATGATTTAATAATGGCTCTTCGTGATGAAAAGAAGTGCTATCTATTGAATGGACACATTGATGTTAAAGGAAAAGTGGACATCACAAATGTTGAAAACAAACAAAATCTCCTTATCTTAATCTTCCCCTGCTTTCTCTCTCTCTCAATCTCTCACATACACACACACTGCCTACTTTCATTTGAAATATTAGGACTTGCAGAAAAATTATGTAATAAAAAACCAGTATTTCATCTTCTTAGAAATCATTATGCTCTAGAGCATCATAATATGCGTGTCCTCAGCCTGTGTTTCTTATACTCTTGTGGGTATTCGGCAACACAATCACAATACAGTGTGAGCTGATTATTATCCCATATGTTACTCCCACATTTTAAAGCTACTATATCTAGATTTAGTCATCAAATAACTTTGTAGCTCAAAGTAAGGCTCTTTACTAAAGACACCAATTTGTACTATAGGTCAGGATACCTCCCATCTATGTTCAGGTGGGAGGTATCAAAAACATCTATGTTTTTGCCAAAGGCAAAACAGGATCAGAGAACAAGACAGGACTTTGTAGTCTGGGACAAATTTCAACATAAATAACCTTCTTGAAGTATTTCGTAAGTTCTCATTCATAATTCCCTGGCAAATCTGGCTGTACTAGCCATCATACTTCAATAAATCTAGGTTCAATATGTTTCTTAAAGGCTTCAAATGCATTTCTTGTTATTTAACAAATACATGCATTTCTGTTGAAATGACCCACGCAAAATAAAAGGATGTCATGCCAAATACCAAAACCATTTACATTTTCCAAATGCAGATAATACTTAGGGAGATAGGAACTTCTAAAACGGTCATCTTAATAATTTTGCTATCAGTCTAATCTTTCTCACTTCAGGCGCCTGGGTGGCTCAGTCATTAAGTGTCTGCCTTTGGCTCAGGTCATGGTCCCAGGGTCCTGGGATCGAGCCCCATATGGGGCTCCCTGCTTGGCGGGAAGCCTGCTTCTCCCTCTCCCATTCCCCCTCTCTAGTGGTGTCTCTTTCTGTCAAATAAATAAATAAAATCTTAAAAAAAAAAAAAAAGAGAGACACTAGACTAGATGCTAGAAGTTATCATACCAGTGTGCCAACCTCCAAATTACTTATAAAGTAGGCAAATGTGTTTTCCTCGTATTTTTTATTGCTTGTCTTTTTGGCCAGCCATCTAACCCCCACACCCCACGTCATTACCAAGGATCTATCAGAAACCTAAAGTCCTGATCCTATTCACCACTTCTTCCCTGTTCTGATACCCCATCCAGGACTGTTGATCACTCCATTTCCTCTCCTAACACAAAACACAGCTGCCCTTTGTTGCATTCTCTTGGCCTTTTGCCAGCTATCACAATAAACCATTTTGAAGTAAGGCAGTTATAGCCGATATTACATTTCTTTCAAAAAATATATTTGGAAGGTAACTTCTGGTGACTTCTTTCAAAGAAGTAACAAATTTCAGGTCTATCAATAGGGTTGGTGTTGACTTTCATAGGTGGCCCTCAGCACATCACAGCAGTTATTTACTAAATTGCACCTACAAGCTGCCAGAGGGAAATATGGAGCCAAATGTTCATTCAGAGAACATGTAGCCAATTCACCTGAAATAATTTTATTTCATCCGTCCATTGTATCTCATTACGATTATTGGATTAAAAATAAAATTAAAACAATGTGTGTCAAGTCTCTTTAATAGTGTATCTATTGCTATTCAAATTCCTGCATGAAAGTATATTAAAAAGTCAGTTATGAAAAACACTTAAATAAAGTCCTCTGTTTTGCTAACCTGGTCTTTAAATGTACGGATTAAAGAACATTAAGGAAAACAGGGGAATAAAACTGCCCAGCCACCATATAATAATATGCTATACCTAAATTCTAGGAGAGAAAGGGCTAATGGCGTCCAGCTGAGCTATTATATGAACACGCGCACCATAGGGGCGTCAGACATGACATTGCTGAAGTAAGGGAGAAAGAGTAATTGAAATCCTTCTAAGAAGTATGAGTGTGAAAACATGACATGGTTTTTGATAATAACCTCCTGGGCTTTCGGGGAAAAAAAAGAATATAAGAGAGCAAGCCATATTCACAAACAGGCAATTTGATTTCGTGCAATGAGTGTGTACTTAGGGGTCAGACAGAGCTGGATGAGAATGCCAGCTCTGCCACTTACTATCTGTATGAACTTGGGAAACAACACTTTTCTAAGCCTTCATTCTTTCATCCATAAAATGGGAGCAGAAATGCTTGACTCACAGAATCCTTGTGATAGTGAACCATAAAATGCTTCGCACAGTTTCTGGCACACAGAAGGCCCTACCCAGTCTTCCTTCCATCCTTCCCTTCCACTGCTTATGATAAATTACATTTTCTTGCTCGAATCAGATTTGATCAATAACAGCTACCGTGCCTGCATTGCAGAATGTTTGGGAGGTATACCAGAACTCCTCTGGTGGAATGCTCACCATACAAAGATTTGGATTCCCTAAGCAGTCAGGGTCCTTCTCCTGTAACTCGTCTATTCAGGTTCATGTGCCACCTGGCCCTCTCCACATTCCCCAGAGGGAACTGGAGCTCAGGTAACCAGTGTGAGTGCAAATATTCTGGCTATTTGTTGTAACAAAGTCCTTTTTCTCTGACCCAGGAATTTGTGTTTTCTGCTCACACCATGAAACTGTAGCTGGCAAACTTGTTTGCCTGAAAATAGGGTAAAATCTCAAATAATTCACAGTGCTTAATGACTGCCGTTAAAAATCAGAGGTGGGGGTAATGTGACCATATGATGAATAAAATGAATAACTCTCCCCCCCATATATACATACATATATTCAAATCAGGGCAGTTTTAAAAAGTCCTCTACTAAATATGGGGAAACCTGATTTCAAGGACACAGGGTGTTTGACCCGACAGACATGAGTCATGGTCTGTTGAATCACTCTAATTGGCAATCTTGCAGCTGGAATACTCATCACCAAGAGCCAGGTCATATGCTGATAGCAATGAATTCTTCCCTAATTTTAAAAAATAAGAAGTTCAAATAAACCATTGTGAAATGTGTCTTGGGCCCTCCCTGTCTCCAGTGGGTCAGTTAGGCAAATCTTCCTACCTACTCACCTAACTGGGAGGCCGACTACAAAATAAGACTGATCTGAAAATCCCTACCAATATATCTTTTATACTCAAAAGTCCTTTTTTCCCTCCAATCTAGGCACTAATATATTCAAAAAAGAATAATAACATTCACATCCGATGTCAGCTTTAAAGCTCCCCTTAAGGCCTCTCAGCCACCTCCTGCCATCAAATTCATTAGGTGAAAGAAAATAAAGGTGGAAGAAGGAGGAAACAAGAGTGGGGGGGTGAAAGATGAAAAACGGAGCTGTCTTTCGCAGAGGATTTCTAAAGGTCTTTCTCAGGTAATGATGTGCTCTTACCTGCACCCATGTCGATCTCCAGCTTCCTCGAGTGCTTCTCCTCGTCTGTGCTGCTAACACCAGACTCGGGGTCATAGTGCCGGTGGCTACCAGGTTCCACAGCCTCAGCAACAGTCTGTCCAACTGATTGGAGATCATAGGAAATATCAAAAGGCATAAAAACAGGTCATGGGAACACTGCTGAGCTATTTCACATCCTTTCAGCAAGTGGGGTTAATTTTAAAAGTATTCACATTAAAATGTGACCTTGTTTTTTTAAAAATCTATGAAGATTGTTTCCAAGCTGTGATTTCAAAAAAGAAAACACAATGGCAGATCACGAAGAAATCCATGCAAAGAAATACTTTAAAAAGACAACAGCCAGAAGCAGTGACAGATTAGCCAAATGCACATGCAATGAAATGATGGAAAACGAGGTTTAGTTGCCTTTTCCTTTCTAGAAACACATGTTATGGCTTTTATAACACCAGTCATCACTGCTCTTTGAAATTGCTAAGACCACCAGTGCTGACTATACTATGAGCATTTCATCCATTAGTAGATTTTAGTGATTTGACCCCAATACTCACTCCATGTGGATAGAGCAAAAAAACCTAGTGCGTGATTCTTATATATTTGACAGTAAAAGCTGTTGTAGAAATTCCTGTTCTCTGCAGCTGATAACCAGCCACGGAACTTCAGAAACACAATGACCTAAGTTCAAGTCCTGTACTCCATACTAACCGTGTTACCTTCGGTAAGTTCTTTGACCTAAGCCTAAACCTCAGTTACCCATCTGTCAAAAAAGGATACCTACTCAGTGGTTATTGGAAGGATTAAAGTAATATATGTAGTACATGATTATCTTTCACTTATTAGCAGGTGCCTAAGCATTTAATAAATAATAGCCATGATGATGATGAGCATGTCTATTTTAAGTATTATCACCCAATCTGGTATGATTCTAGGCAACACTGTAATATCAATTAAATTTGTCTATTATTTCTGATATGTCCCTGTCTACATCCTTTACCTAGCATGTCATGATCCATGTACCTAAATCCCTGACACCTACCATTATGCCACCTTCTAGTTAATTAAAGCTCACTGGAATAACACTAGACCTAGGTCTGCCCTCCCAGATAAGAACATATCTCCCTTTCCTCCCTCCCTCCCTTCTTTCTCTTCTTTTTTTTCTCTCTTTCCTTTAATGTATTCTGATTCAGTTGATCCAAAGAGTGTACTTGGAAAAAAACAGAACTAGAATGTGGTCTCTTGCTCACTTTAAGGTGAATTGCTAAGGGGTAATTAGTTACTCACTGATTCATCTGTGTTTGGAAGCAAATAGTGAAATGTCTGCCTCATGTGTCTTTGGGGAAAAAAATGGAATGACTTAACTTTATTAATCTTGAGAACAAACATGGAAATGAAAAGAGGTACATAAAATGGTTCAAATGTATTCTATTAAAAAATTTTTTTTGAACATCAATTTTCCTCATTTATCCGATAAACAAGTAAAAACGATTTTTACAATAATATAGTTTAGAGATGACATCAACTCATGACAGATTATAGTTGGGTTTGTTATCAAGTAAACCTTTATTTTAGGAACTTTATAAACATAGTACATAAAAATTAAATATCTTGCCCACTGTAATAATGTTAACAGTATATAACTAGTGAGTTTAATAAATAAGCAGTATTTTAGATCCTTGTATATAAATCTGCTTGGCTGATTGAGCAATCGAAATCCCAAAGATGGGAGGACAGGGGGATGGGACCAAGTCTGATTTCACAGCAATGACTTGAAGTTTTGTTTCATCAGAGCCTATGAGACATCTGGATTTTGTTTCCAGGTAGCCATAGACTATAAATAAATATGGTTTATCATATAAATATCAAATCATTATGTTATACACCTAAGAAAATGTAATATACATCAATTATAGCCCAATAAATTTTTTAAATATGGTTTACAATAATAATAAATAATTAAAATAAGCAATTAGCAGCTATTGAACCAGACTACTCTAAGAAGCCAAACGGTACTAGCATAATTTGGAAATTACAACTCACTCAGAATGGACAGTGAAGCATGTAGTCCCTCTGTCTCAGGACTGTCCTCACCACCTGGCCACGTCTGCTGGCTTGCCCCTGGAGGGTTAGGCTTTGGAAGTAGATGAGAAGGCTTTTGGAAGTAGATATACAGTTAGGTATTGCTTGCTACAGATTCAGCAAGAATGGGACCCTGGCCTGAGCATCAAGGACTTATTAGGTGTGAGACCAGAAAAGGCCTCACTTGGTCATTTTTCTTCCTTAGATGTTCTGAAACTGAAACTTAAAAGCAAGAACTTGGCTAGGGTCTAACCTTGAGGGTTTCCACCTACGGGAAAGGAGGACTATGTCCGCTGAGCCCGGCGCCAGCACTGTGATACATCACTTTGTGTCCTTAACTTCTTAGCCCTTCACCCCCCGAGGCTCCTCTCCTTCCCTCTCTATAAAGATGACCATTAAAAGCAAAGGTAATTGTCCATTCTCACAGCCTTCAAAGCAAAGTGGAGAGAATTCTTAGAATTCTTAGAAAAGCGCTTTATCCCCTCAAATGATATAGGATATTTTAAGATGTTTTTTAAATACCAAAATATTATTATCTGATGTCAGCTTTTTTATTATGAAAACAAACATATTTTAAAATAATATATACAGTACTTTCCCCAAATAGGGAAATAGTACATATTCTTACTGAAAGCTTTAAAAGATTATAAAGTACAAAGAAAAAAACAAAAATTATCCTAGTTTTACCACTCAGAACTACTAGTTAACATTTGAGTGAATCTCTATGTAACTTTTTTACTCTACTCTTAGTATAGATAGCATTTTGTACCCCATTTTATTCATTTAGCAATATATTGTGACTATTTCCACATATCATTAAATAAAAAAAGATTCTTCAGTAACTACATAGAATGTTCTAATAAGCTTTTACTAAAATTTGATTAACCAATTGCCTGATTTGAATACTGAGTTATTTCCATTTGTGTGTGTGTGTGTGTGTGATTATAAAGCTATTTTAAATACGACTTATAATCATTTTTGTATTTTTTTCTGATTATTCCCTTTGGGCAAATTCCTGGAATTGGACTTGCTCACTCAAAGAGCATATTTTTAGAAGCTTTTGATATATTTTTTTATATATTCTTCAAGAAAAAGGAGGTATCAACAAACAATTTCACCTGTAATGATGGAAGGCCGTATGTCCCTGTGCTTTGCCAACAATGTTACAATTTCCATCAATTCTTTCTATATTTGATAATTTTATAATTGAAAACTGGTGGCAAGGATACCGTTTTCAATGTTAGTAGGAAAACTTTCTAAATTCATCCCCTCTTCTCTGCTTGTTTTGAAACAAAACAAACTGATCCCATCTCAAAACATACTAATAACCCTGAGCAATTCACTATCAGAGGAAAGTTTTGCCAAGAACTTTTCATCGGAATTTTAAGAAGAAGGCTATAAAGGCAGAGTAAAGATCTATCCAAGTTTATCTCAAGTTCCCGGTGCCCTCGAATACCACGCGTGTGATTCGATCGTTCTCTGTGTAGCCAATCAATTACCTTCCCAGCAAGTCACCATGACAAACTTCATGACTAACACCATCTACCTACGCGGTGAAGATGCTCCTGCTTCCCCCCCCCCCCCCCCCCCCCCCCCCCCCCCCCCCCCCCCCCCCCCGGCATCGAAGCACAGCCCACACAAACCCAGGATTAATTACAAACCCAAGCCCACAGCTGTTCAGAGACGACAGCTGTGGAGAGCTAACGTCTATCCTCCACACAGTATAGAATGGTATAGAATCATCTTTCTGCAACTTTCAGATCACGTCATTTGTATGCTCAAACCTTTCCAGTGGCTTCCCATCTCAGAATCAAATCCTCCCCATGGCATACGAGTTTCTCCCTCTGCCTCTTCCACTCAGCTCCCGGTTTAGAGTCCCCGCATTTGCTCTTCCCTCTGCTTCCTGCGCGCTTTCTGCAGCTGGCAAAGTGGCTCTCCCCTGCACTTCATTCAGGTCTCTGCTTAAATGTCCCTTCATCAGAAAGGCCATCCCTGAAATAACAGCCCTTCCTCAACCCATTGCTCTGTCCTCTAACCCTGATTTTTCTTCTACACTTAGGCCAGAATACCCCAGTACTTGTTTATTTTTCACTTGTCAGGCATCTCTCGCACTAGAACATAAACTCCAATATGGACAGGGACGTCATGACGCTCACACTAAGAACAGTGTGGCATAAAAGCAGATAACCAAAAAACTATTTACTGGCAGAGGAAATCTATTGGAACAAATAACTATGCTTTCACAATTCATCCAGAACTTGCACTTAGACCACAACTCACAACACATGACTGTCATGTTCTCTCATCAGGACCACCCAACTTGGCTGCGTGATGATCAGACTGCATATGACTCTAGCCATTACATTACTTAGGCTTAGATTACCTGGCCAAGCACTATGACCTCTTCTCATTCACATATAAAAGAATAAAATGCCTGCTTCCATATACATTTCACAGTATACTTTATATTACAACATTCTGTTCTTAACATTTTATTTATATTTGTAATGTATAAATTATACTAACTTCACAAATTAATCTACCTAAATTGTTCTACTATTAGAACATAAAGTAAAGATCATGTCATAGTGCATTAAGACAGCTTAAACTGAAGATAACAGAGAAAAATAAACACATTATAATAACACTATGCCCTATCATACTGAATTACCTCCCAAGGACCCTGTCCCATTGTAGCTAGCAATTATAATCTTTTATTTTATCCACTTCACTGTGTATAACACATCTTTTGTATCAATTCACCTGATTTGTTGGTGGACTGGACAAAGCCCAGTTAAGTGAGACACATAAAATAGAAGGAAAAATATCATTTTATGTTATCTGAAAGGCACAAAGGTATTGAATGTAGAACTTTACTACTTTATCCACTGCTATGATCTTAAGTGAAAACAATTCAGATTAAGTTGTATTCGTTTGGACACTATAAAACATCATTACCTGAGTGTGATTTTATAGCCCACAGACCCTATTCCTAACATAATCACAGTTCATAATCAGCACCAAACAAATATGAGAGATAATCTTCTACACATTATCTTGGCCCCCATTTTGACCTAAGGTTCTACTCAGAGATCTAAATAAAATAATACACATTTCACTCTTTACCATGCCTTCTGATCGAATGCAGCATGGTCACCTACATGACCTTCTCTTCAAGCATTAACTTTGGTTCCATCCCTCTCTCCCTGAGCCATCTAACAGAAGACTCCATCAAGAAAGAGGAACTAGCCATAACCTCTTTGCTTGGCATCAGGCAAGTCAAGACCTGGTTTATTTTATCTGAAATTTTCTCAGAAATATTTATTCATATAAGGGACTTTGAGACTATTTATGACCTCTCTTCATCCGTTATTTTTTTGTAAAAAATATTTACAAATTTATTGTATCATTTCCTTGAATATACTTAAAAACATCAGCACTCGAGAGTTATAATCTATGCATCCATGGGTTTTGATAGCATTAATCCTTCTACATCTTTCTGAATATTTTACATGTTTTTTTTTAATCTATTAATGTTTTATTTTCCACTGTACTTTATTCCCTCTGCCTCTGGGCCTCCATAACCCAGAAATTTTGTTCTTTCGTGGAAGATGAGTCATAGAACAAATCTATCAGTTCTTGCACAGAAGGCAACATATTTTTAAGAAAATTTGCAAAGTTATAAAATACAAGGCAATACAGTAGAATACTATGTACAGTGATTAAGAATAAAGTACAGTTATGTGTGCTAATATGAAAAGGTATTGAAGATACAGTAATAAGTGAAAAAAAGGCAAGTGGTAAAACAAAATGTATGTTTCCATCTGTCTATAAAGATATACGTATATATGTAATATATGAATACATTTATATATGTGTATAGAGAGAAATTTTTCTGGAATCAGGCCTAAAAAATATTCTCTGCAGTTATGACTATGTTGCATGGGAAAGAGTAGAGGTGGGGCAAGGAAGACTAGCTTTCTTTTCATTCTCTCTGTTCTGTATTGTTTAAACTTTTCAACCAATCCTTTATAAGAAAAAAATTTTATCAAAAGCCTTAATATGTGATTCAGAAATTACACTCTTAGGAACCTAGCCTAAGGAAATAATTATAGATTTTAAATTACCTTAGGTAATAAGATATTAGAGTACTATTAATAATAGTGAAAATAGGGAAAAATATAAATATCCATAATAGGGGAATGGTTATAAGAAAACCACAGAATGGGATAACATACAGACATTGAACATATTTATTAAGATTACATAATAACAGAAAAATGCTTATGTTGTAACAATAAGAATAAAAAGCAGAACACAGTATTTTATAAAAAAGATGACAACATAACTTTGTAAACCCTAAGTTTAGAAATAAAAAAACCTGACCAAATGTTGAAGGTGATTTTTTGTGTGTGTGCTACATCTATGGGTAATTTTTTTTAAATCTACTTTTCTCTACATTCTGACTGTTATTTCATGTTATGTCGTAAGCTGTTAATGAAAAATAAACACTGACAAAGAGGCCTGCGACATTTATTAAAGCTTAAGAAAGATAAAAAGTCACAAACCTTGCCATCTAGTGTTGAAGTTGAACCTGCCTTAATAAAAAGATAACAAAATGCTTTAGAATTATAGATGTTATCAAGTCAAGAACACAGACTTCCCATAATATGTAAGAAAAATGATAAACCTACACACTTTTCATTTCACACATCCAGAAAAAAACACCACCTCACTTTCTTCCAAGTGGCATGATTTCTAGCCCAATGTTTCTGCTATTCCATCCATCACCTATATACAGCCTACGCTACATGCATCTTACTTTACAAAAAGATGTCTGTATACACAAGTCCAGGTAAACAATCTAGTTTTCTGAAGAGGAAGTAAAAGAAATAATGTCACTGTTACTACTGAACTTTAACATCTCTACCTTTTTTGGGCGGCATCTTGCCAAATTGTACAAATTTCCTAGATTGTACAGGATATGTTCTAGAACTGAACAATGAAATCCACGATCAAAGACTTGAATTCCTGTAAAAGGGTTTCAAATATACTTTAACAAAAATCTTAACTCACATATGGAAAAACCCCTTTGAAAACCTCAGAGGTATTCAATCCCAGGGCAGAAGTTGGCAAACTTTTTCTAGTAAGGGCCACATAGTGAATTCTTAAGGCTTTGTGAGCTGTCAGGAAGTCTCTGCCCTTGCAATGCAAGAGCAGCTGTTAATAATATGTAAGCAAATGAGCATAGCTCTGTTCCAGTGAAACTTTATTTTCTGACACTGAAATTTGAATTTAATTTTTTCACGTCACCACATATTATTCTTTTGATTTTTTTCAAACCACTGAAAAATTTAAAAAACAAACAAAAAAATTTTAAAACATTCTTAGCTCACAGGCCGTGCAAAAGAAGAAAAAAAGGTGGTAGGCCAGATGGGGCCTGTGGGTCGAAGTTTGTCAAACTGTATATTCTAGAGTTATCTGAATTTGCTACACCCCACTATCTGGAATGCTTTTATCTTCCTTCATTCGATCTTAAAAATCATATCTAACCTTTAAAACCTTCCTCAAAAAAATCCTTCACAAAAACGTTCAAGGTGTACTTAACCAAATGGGACTTTCCCCTTCTTTTGAAACTCCTTAGCGTTGGTACCTTCTCCGGTTTTATGAATGACTACGGACCTTTGTCCAATTATTGGTGCCACGCCTTCCTCTTAACATGTGATGGGTGGCACCCTCTCTTACACATTTCTTATTGACCATGGTGCCCTGCACGTAGTAGAAGGTGAATAATAATGATTGAATTGAAAGATAACTATTCAACAACCTCAATTCCTAGATGTAGGCCCCAGTGGTTTAATAACAGCTCTTAAGGTCCTAAAAAACAAATTTTAGAGACATTACAAGTAAGCATAAGCTTTAAAACAGATGATTTTAGTAATATTAAAATGTGAAAACAGATTTTATCTCGGAATCAAGAAGAATGCCCACCATATTGGCAGGGGAGACAGATGAGCGAGAACAGGGGAGGAGGAGTGACAGGGCATAGGATGCCATGTGAGCGCCAAACATCTGGCAGGCACGATCCAGCTGTCCACAGGACGCAACTTGGTCCTTTACCTGTCCCTCTAAATTTGAGAAAGGCATCAGACCTTCCACATGTCTAAGGCCCTGGGACCTGATTATTGTGGGACATTCTTCACTCTTCCCACGTCAAATGAACTGTCCTGCATACTCACCCAGTGACCTCTGGGTCAGGAAATCGAAATCACTCAGTTTCAGAGAAGAACTCAAAGTAAAGTTTGGAGTTTTCTATGAAACTGTCATATTTTTATCTAAATTTAAATTCCTATTGCACAGATAAAATAGAAAAATCTTTAAAAACCGGAGCCACTCTGCTTGAATTCAAATCCTAGGAATGCTTCTTAGGAGCTATATAATCTTGACAACTTACTTAACCTCTCTGAGCCACAATTTTGTCACCTGTGAAAAAAAAGACATGATGATAAGAGAACCTAACTCAGGGGATACTGGGCTGTTGTAAGGAGTAGATGAGTTTATATATATAAATGTTTAGAACTGGCACATAGTAAGCACCTACCAATGTTAGCTATGTATGCGTGTGTGTGTGTGTGTGTATGTATATGTATATATAAGTGAATATATAGCTAAAAACAAATAGTATTTCTAATATTAAATCACCTCTAAAAAGCCACACATACCTTGCCTTCAGACACATACTGTGTTTTATTTGATTCTTGAGATAGAATTACCACAAGAAGGAATTTACAGAAAATAGGAAACAAGCTATGTCAGATTTATCAAGTAACTTTTAAAATGCAATAGAAGGAAAACAGCAAGCTGAAAGTACATGTATGATTATGTGATGAAGAGAGAAATAAGAAAAAAATTGAATGCCTCTGGCATTATCACAATCGCATTTCCCAAGCTTTGGCAGAAATGTAAGGACCCAAATCAGCTTCCATGCATGGGAACAATGGCAGGTCCACTCAATGGCCATACTTACCATCTTTTTCCACCCTACGGGGACCTGCCTTTTTGTCCTTCACCTTAGCAGTGCTTCCTTCCCAAAGCCTACTCTTATCCTTTTCTTTTTCTTCTGTGGAAACACGTTCCCTGGACTTCTCAGATAAGCCCGCTGCAATCACTTGGGTTCCTTTCTCCGTTTCTTCTTCAAGAACATTCTCCAAGCGTTCCTCTATGGGCAGAGGCTTGGTCTCTACATCTGCTGTTATGATTTCTTGGTCTTCAATTTCAACTTCTAAGTAATCCTCAATTGGAAGGTGGGATTTTCCTGGCTCATCACTTTCACTCGACTCCTGAGAAGATGAACTTCTGGCCCTTCTGTTCAGGCTGTTTTCAGTGTGGGCCCCTCTATCTCCCGATGCAGACTCATCTTCACTGCAACTAGAACATGGACGACTTCTGGATGAAGATGATGAAACAGTCTTTATATCTAAAATATAAAAATGATGACATCATTGTTTTTCCATAAAGCACTTGGTTTAATTGTGGGAATCAGGTGAGTAATAATCATACTAAAAATTTTTAATATAGGTTAATAGACTTAGTGCCCGTTTCACATATATTGCACATAACTGTCAAGATAAAGAAAAACCAATGTAATCTGTGAGTCTCTAGAAGTTTTCTTTAAAAAAAAGATTTTTTACTTATTTGAGAGAGGGAGAGAGAGAGAGAGTGAGCGAGCATAAGCTGGGGGGTGGGGAGGAACAGAGGCAGAGGGAGAAGCAGACTCCCCGCTGAGCAGGGAGCCCGACTAAGCGGGGCTCGATCCCACCCTGAGATCATGACCTGAGCTGAAGGCAAACGCTTAACCAGCTGAGCCACCCAGCCGCCCCTCTAGAAGTATTCCATAGGAAATCACATTTAACTGAAAACCAACTGTAGTTATTCATTTATTTTTGAAAGCCACTTTATTAGAAAGCCTTTGTATCTATTTTATTGTAGAAGAAACTGAATAATCTTACTTGTTCAGTAAGAGCGCTTATTCATTATCATCTTGAGTAGCCACAATATTCTCTGTGCATAAAATTTAAATTTTTATCTACTGTAATACCACCCATACCCAGCTAGCAAGGTGTACTAGAAAGATTGATGCATTTGCATAAATACCAAGACACTTTAAAGATATTCTGAGGTGATGCTTGTGTGTGTGTGTGTGTGTGTGTGTGTGTGTGTGTGTGTGTAGGAGGACATGTTGTCTTATTTTGGGTCCCCCCAAAGCAGATGCTGAGGTCAGGATTCATGTGCAAGTGATGTATTAAGGATATGCTCCAGGAGAAACTTTTACAGGTGTGGGGGAAGCGGGGCAGGGAAGGGAAGAAGTCGATCAAGGGAGCCATTTCAAGCAACATCTCAACCTCAGCCTGATCCCACAAGGACCTCTGAGGTCTAAATCATATTAGAATTTTTCCTCCCTTGAGGATCGAGTGCTCCAGTCAGATGTGGCTACCACTACCTCTCCGCCCCCCACCCCGCCAGGGGAAGGTAAACTCCTTGGCTCTTCCAGGCTCTCTGTGCAGGCAGGTGAAGCAGCTCCATAGCCCAGGGCTGTCCTCTGAAGAAGGCAAAGGGTGCCAGAGCTGGGCAGAGATGGGCACATGGAATCAGTACGAGGGCTTCTAGGAGAGGGAGGCCGTGTGCTGATGGGATGCTACAGATACGCAGACTAGATTAACCAAAGCCAGAAATGGTTCCATTCTTACTACCCAAAAGCACTTTCAAAAATCTCCAAGAAAGCCACATACACACTGAATCTCTGGAAGGAAGACGCACAGCCTGAAAGTCACGGCATATGCTGGGGGCCAGATAAATACAAACCTGCTTTTGAGTTTTTCATCAACAGAACTGTGTTTACAATAGCTTTTTATAGAATATATTTTCAAATGAAATATCCTACACTTAAACACTGCCTAGCTTCCTTGTTTTCTCTTCTCTGTGTGCTCCTTACTCTTTTCTCTGTTTCTTTTATTTCTGCTTGGCAGCTGCACAGACGACTGTAGCAGCTGATACAGACTTTAAGGGAAGAAATACCTGTCTTTCCTCTTCTCCTTTTCCTTCACACCCTCAAGCCCAAATGACTCTCCATGACAGGGCTTAGAATTTTAAGTATAGACACAGAGACTTATCAGAGTTTCCACAAAGATTTGAGAGATGCTGCACAGCAGTAAAACACAAATTCTAAAAAGCCTTTAAGCAACAGAACCCCTTAAGTACAATTCCATTTGTTCCTATCTCCCAACTCCCTTGACAGGCATCAGATGACCACTGTTTCTCAAAGGAACGCATACTTCAACCACTCATTCTTTATCTCCATTTTATAAAATCTGTCTCTCAGTAGGGAACACAGCAGATCAAGGACAGTTGTTCTCTATCTTATTTGTACCACTTCAGAAAATTTAGGGACTATGATCTCACCCTCTCTTAAGCATCTCACATTTTTTTTTAAAGAAAAACAACTCCTATTTGCTAGTTGTTCAATCAATGGCTCTCATTAATAGCACAATTAGCTAGAAGGCAATATTATACTTGTTTTGCACTCCCAAAAATATTCATATCTACCATCTTTAATATTTATATGATGACTCTGACTTTTGGCTCTGAGAGTTGTTCACATAATAAGAAAAATGAGCATTCCCCTACCTTTCTTTCGTAGCTTCTATTAATTGTGTTATTTTATTTCAAAAGGCTGAATCACACTCTGGCTCATTTTGAGTCAGTCCCTTAGAGAAGAAAGATCAGGAGAATGAATGGCCTTCAAGAGGCAAGGGCACCTGACCTCCCATATAAACTCATTTCAGTTTTCCAGTTTCTCTCTAACCTTGCTGTGCAATTGAGCTTCACTCTCATTTCTTTCTCTCATTTTCATGCAGACACTGGGGCAAGACTTTGCCTACAAATAAAAGCTCAAAATGTTTCAGGGCCATGGAATGGGATTTTCAACACTAATTTTATTTATTGTCTTAGAAATGAAGCACGTTTTTATATAGAAATTTTTGTCTAAAAGAACTTTTTACATGAAAGAACTACGAGGGCACATACTTAATATTTTTTGTCACTCGGAGGGAAAAAATTATCTTGAAGGCGTGTGAGTAAGCAACTCCAGCTCCCACCCAATTCTATCTGTCTCTGCATGGCTCCCTGCAGGTACTGAAGCTAAAAGCATCTGCTCTTGATCTTTATGGTAAAGACATGATGTTCACTTGTTGGTGTGGCGCCATGATTCCATGCCCTACAAGGCACCTCTGACTTTCCGCCCTGCACATTCAATCAGGCTCCAGACCCTTCACCATCTCTCTCTTCCTGTCACTGATAACTCTTCCTTCTTTTGCATCACTATTATTTCACACAACATGAGACTGAGGGAAAAGAATAATTTCTTCTGTAAGATGAAACTAGGTGTTTCAATCATGACTCAGCTGCTGACTGGCTTTGACTTTGGCTCTTCCAGTTAACCTCTCTAAGCCTCTGTTTTCTTGACTATGAAATGAGGCTAATCCTCTCTGTAAGTCATTGTAGAAATTACATGACACAAAATCAAACAATGATTTCTTTATGAATTCCAGTCCTTCCCCCTCTATGAAATCATACACGTTAAGTATTGTCTAATACATTTCTTTCTTGTGATTTCATCCTGTGCATTCTATGAAGAATAGTAATTGCAGTGACTGTTTGCTGAGGAAAAATAAATACAGACCTGATCATGATTATGTATGCACCTACTGTGTACCAAACAAGGAGGTTAAGCACTTTACAAATATCTCAGTTAATCCCATGGAATAGCTATTTTCTTTTTCTAGATCTAAAAAGTAAGGGGGGCACCTGGGTGGCTCAGTTGGTTAAGCGTTCAGCTCTTGGTTTTGGCTCAGGTCATCATCTCAGGCTGGTGAGATTGAGCCCTGCATCAGGCTCCTCACTTGTCACAGAGTCCACCTGAGATTCTCTGCCTCTCTCTCTCCATCTGCACCACCTCCCCACTCACACTCACTCGTTCTCTCTCTAAAATAAGTAAATTCAATTTAATTTAAAAAGAATGTAAGGCCCAGAGAAGTTAAATAATACCCAATGCCCATTAGCTATAAAGTAGCAAGTTTGTAAAACATTTTTTTTTTTTGTAATGACCCACTGTAGTAAAACTAAGACCACTCTACTTGCCAAAAGGCCTTCAAACAGAGCGCACCACACCCACTGTCACGGACCTACTACTTTGTCACTACCTACTAACTTTGCACTGTTACCACCCCAGGATGACAAATGGAAAATCGTTCTCTCCAAAACATCAGAACTCATGGAATTCAGCCTGTCCTCCGTTTTATATCCCTAGTGGTCCTTCTCCATTTGGCCACTATATATATGTATGTATCAGTAACCTCCACTGTTTGTACTGCCTGCTTTGCCAAGTTGAAACACACCTGACCAAAGGTGCCAACCGCTCACACATCCACAGTCAACACGAGCCCAGCAAATTCAGGATGAACTCTGCTACCCTCTCTTGTAACTGAGGTTCTGAGTTCTTCTTCACCTTTCTACCCACTTCCATAGATTCGTTCATGAAATGCATATTGAGCACCTCCTATATGTCAGGCATCGTGCTAGGTTCTAAGGACACAGTAGAGAAAAAGGCAGGCCAGGACCCTGCTTCCACAGAGATTACACACTCTAGCCAGACACTGCTTCCTTTCGCACGAGCACAACAGCTCAACTGTCCATGTTCACTCAGGTGTTTGTCCATCCTCCTTACACTGACCATGGACAGCTCTCTCAGGAGCTGCTGTTAACACTCTTCCTGCAATCAGTAGCCGTATTGTCTGTTTTGAACCAGTTATAAGTCCTGACCTTAGTTTTGAATCATTTCCTCACCCCCTAGCATAGAGCATGGTTTTACTATAGTTTAAATTCACCATTTTCTCCATTAGTGTCCTGATTTTAACTACTTTGTTTTGGGTTCACTAGCTTGAGGTCCCATGGACACTTCAAGTGCACAAACTCAGTACAAATATGTAAATTCAGTTAAAAACAACTAGCTTTCAGCCCAATAACATACCATGCATCCCAACCCAGTGGATCCAATACTCTTCCAAACTAATACAAATTGCTTCTCTCTCTCCCATTCTTTAATCCAGGGGTTCACAGCAAAATCTGCGTGGATGCTGCTCCTATTGTCTTCAAATTGGCCATGAGACATGAATTTATACCTCCTACTATTACTCATATTAATAGTTCTATCTTGATTATACACATGAGCTCATAAAAATCTGTTTATACTTTATATTAGATACTGTGGTTTAGTCAATATTTTCATGTACAATAATGCCTAGTTAGACAAATGCCTCTGTACTCATAAATATTGCAGAATGAATGCATGCTTAATGAAAATAAAAGTTGAAATCATTAAATTCCAGCTATAAACAGTAACTAGTTATTTGTCTTAAGGGAGAGCATATGTCCTCACACTGATAATTTATGACTCAATTCATCAATGAGACAAATATACACATTACTTTGTAAGAATAAATATCTACAGGTAAATGCAGCTCTAGCAGGAGGAGACGAAAAAAACTGAAAAAGCTTAAAAGTTCCTCCATATCTACCTTTACTTGCACTTTAAACATTAAAATGAGTACTTAAAATACTGGGAATATAATCAAATCCTGTGTCACACCGTGCTAAGTCCTTTTACATTTATCCACTAAGATTAAGCTTTCACTGGGTATCTCAGTAATGCCTTTGTTGTGTACAAGGGAGATTCAAACCTGTAGAGAAATCATAGGAAAGTGTTTTATGTGGACTAAAAGATGATGCTGCATTTAAATATTCACCTGAAAGCCATGACTTCCTACTTCAATAATCAAAATGTGAATATGGATTGAGGAATTCTTACCATTCAGAAAAATTAAAGTTTAATCATGCAAAAAAAAAAAAAAATCACACATATAGACGCTGACCAGAAGGCCATCTACAGTCTTCCCCTAGTCCTCTCTGTTCAAGGAGCAGTCAAGTTACACTGAAGTCCACAGAATGTGGTTTCACAGCATCTATAATTTCAACACAGAAGAAGCAGCCTCCCCTCATATGCTTCTCTTCGATAGTTAGGCCAGGAAATGAAGAGTAAGATTTTTGAAGTCAATAAGTCAAGTAAATAGAATATTTTTTGTGACTCTGGAATTTTAAAAGTCTATAAGGCCTGTTTCTTCAACAGACTGGAAAGTAGCACAAGTGAAATATTATCTTTCTTACTTGAAAAAGCATTTGCTTTAATTCTTCTATTCTTTGCAATTCTGGGAAGAGATTGTCTCTCTCTCTGAAATCTTTCTCATAAGAAGCTATTGATTCTTTACCTCTTACTCATAAGCATTATCATCCAAACTGTCCATGAAAGTATAAAAGTATATTCCCAGCGACATGACACTTTTCCCCTCAACCTTGTAACATTCATCTATGACAGTGTATTTTCAACTAGTGACTTAGCGCCTGGGGTTGCCAACACAAATGCAGAGAAAAGGAAGCTGTCATTCTTTTTAAACGATGGGAAGTCTCACACGTCATCCCTAAACCAGGGTGCTCTCTTCGTGGCTCTCGGGCCCTAGCACTCATCACTCATGGGCTGCTCAGCACAGAGCATTCATCAAGGCGGGCCCACGCCATTGTTAGCTGGCAGTTTAAATGGGGCCAACTTGTCACCAGAGTGACAGCCTGGGCAATTGTTTGCCCTCTGGGAACAGGTGCAGGCAGGTTCAAATGAAACACATCCAAATACTAACAGCAAGATTCTTAATCATGTCAATAAATAGGATGAACTGGTGTCTCAGACTCAGTGGTCACAATATGCCTCTTACACTTTTGAAGATGAAATGCTGTCTGGCTTTTTAATAGAGTGTTCCAAGGAACCCGCTGTGTCATTATCATTTTTAATACATGCTACTTTGTTTGCTGGATGAAATCTCTAATTCAGATATCCCGCATGCTAAAAGGAATATTTCTGAATAACACAAGGCCAGGTTATCAAAATCAAGGGATGGGAAATAAAAGAGCTGGGAGGTAGAGGAAAGAAACAGTAATAAATAAGCAATGAGATTTTACTTCAAAATAATGGCAAAGTTTTAATGTAAATACCAAAAATGCAAAAGAGCTCTTAAAAAGGATAGCCTAATAATATTATTGAAACAACAAAATAAAATAGTTAGCAAATTTAATCTCTGGCTCTTAAATTTCCCATTTGCGGGCTAGATTTTATATGTTCTGGTAGCATTCACTACATATCTCTTCAAAAATATTACATATAATAATGTAGCTAACTCTATACAATCTTTTTCAATAAAATTCTAATGTGTGCCATGAATAAAAGCACCTTAGTATTCTTTTTTTTTAAAGATTTTATTTATGTATTTGAGAAAGAGAGAATGAGAGACAGAGTATTCTTAGTGTTAAAACAATCAAGTAATTGCATAATATTTACAAAATATCTTTTAGGAAATCATCTCTGTGAAGAATAACAAAGACAACATACTGTCCTAGCTTCCATAGTTGTAACAACTTTGTGTTATTAACTCGTGTAATTAATTTGAGGGGTGAAACTTAACATATGAAACAAGAAGAGATAATGAATAAGAGAATAATGAATTACTGAACGATAGAGTTTTATGAAATAAAGAGCTTAGTGAAGGCGGGCAAGCTAGGAGTGTGTTTTGGGAGAGCAGGGGCCTCAGCTGGAACTGAGCTCAATGCCTGGGAGTGGACAGGGAAGTCCATCCAGGGAGGAGGAAGGTCAATTTGAGTAAAAGTAGAAAATGTCCATTTTTATCTCCTCTATTCAAAAACAAAACAAAAAAACAGAGGCTAGAGAAGAAGATGAAGAGCTCACGATAAGTGCCTCTAAAATGCATGGTCTTGAGGAAGCAGAATCCTTTTATTGGGGGGATACGCTTTACTTTTAGATAAATAGATATTTTCTCATTTGGAACAATATTATATTGTTTCTCCAAAATCCAGGCTCTGAAGTTGGGTAATGTTTGTCTGGTTCCACTGCTTTCTGGCGTGTGAGTTACTTAATCCCACTATATCCAAGTTCAATTATTTGTAAAATGGAGATAAAAAGAAACAGTACCTGCTTTTTAAGATTGGTTGAGGTAAATCAGATAATTCATATAAAATATTTAGTATACTGCTTAGCACAGAGTCTTAATAAACAATACCTTTTGGATGCCTTTCCAAACATAGGATTCCAATTATTTATATGCAAGCAGTATTCAGTGTTAAAGCTTACCTATTCTGTCAGTTATTCAATAATTACAGGTCTAAATGATTAAAGCGTTCCCTCCAAGGAAGATCCAAGTACTAGCCTATATCCCTCTCTGTTTGAACATAAAAATTTATTCTTAGAAAAAATCCATCTGATCCTAAGAAAACAAGATGATTATGTAGCACAAAAATAATCCCAGATGACCAAATATTCAAAGAATGTACTGAATCTTCATGAAATCAACACTTGTTAATTCCCCACCATTACTGAAGAAATGAAAAATTGAGTCCCTTGTGTTTTGAACCATTATATTTACATGCAAACACATTTTCAGTTCTTTTCCAGGTTCAAGTCACTCATATAATTTCTTCAAAATTTGATTCATGTGACATCACTTTTCCATAGAATTCTTTAACTTTCTCTATGTCATATAGGAATATAAACTTAAATCCAATATTCACATTAAATTGAGAAAAGAGCTTATACATTAGGCATGCCTGGAAACATAAAGTGTAAGTATTAAGAGAAATTATAGAAAGGGCCTAGTTTAGACTTTATAAAAAATATTTCAATGCCTGGCCATTAATCTTGAGTGCATCTTTCAACTGTAATAAAAGTGACAGCATATCTTGTTTTCAAGTTTACTAATAGCGAACATCATTCTAAATTTTCACTTTGTGCTTCACTCTTTGCTTTAACTGTCAGGAAACTCAGGATTAAATTTCTAGTTCAAGCTTAGTGATGGTCCCATCTATGGTTCCTAGTAAAATTATCTTCTCTTTTACTCTAAATAATTTCTGTATTTTATTGCCTTTATGTGTGTGCATGAAATTTTAGAATAGGTTTGCTTAAATTATTTCTTGAAGAGAGTGGAACTAAAATATTTGCTCTTGGTTACTGAATTTACTCTTATTTTATATTATCCCAATACACTCCTTCAATTCAAAATTTTGAATTTTATACAGTAGAAAATGTTGAGAGGTGGAAAGAATGGGGGAAATGGACAGCAATTTAAAAAGTCATCATAGGGGTGGCTGGGTGGTTCAGTCAGTTGGGCATCTACTTTTGGCTTGGGTCATGATCCCAGGGTTCTGAGATCCAGCCCCGCATTGGGCTCCCTGCTCTGAGGGGAGTCTGCTTCTCCCTCTCCCTCTGCCTGCCGCTACCCCTGCTTGTGCGCACACATTCTCTGTCTCTCTCTCTGTCAAATAAATAATTAAATCTTAAAAAAAAAAAAAAAGTCATCATAACGTAACCTCATTCTCTAGCCCAAAGCAAACTACAAAGACATACATATACTTAAATACGACAGGGTTATTGTTGTAACTGGTAAATGCCCTCAATGTACCAGGAAAGATCTCTGATTAACTAAGAATCACATAACCTTGACCAAACCCTTTTATTGGACAAAGCAAGAAATTGGTTCCTTCTTTGACTGAACATAATTTTGGGGAACTAAGGTCTTTAAAAAAGTCTTAAAATGTTTGAGGTATGTCTCAGATGATAAGGGTTTCTTTCTCTACCTAAAAACCTTTCTGTATGTTCCCCATGAAAATTCAGAGTCACTTTAAGCTTAAAGACTGTGAGGGAGCCTCCTTTGCCAAAAGAGATAATCCTTCCATGAAACCAAGATGACAGCATCCTGTGTGCAAGGTAAGTGAAGACAAAAAAGTGAACCTAGGGTAGGAATCTTCAACTTTCCCTTTAACTGAATGGGAGGTTCTTTTCATTTTTCTAAGGCTACAAAATGGTGTGTGCACATGCGAATACATGCGTGTGTGTGTGTGTGTGTGTGTGTGTGTAAGAGGGGATACTTTGGGATTTAAAAAAAAAAAAAGGAGTAACTTTCTAAGTAAACAGAGGACATGTCACTAAAAACTTTACCTAACGCCTGTTGAAAAATCCCAGCAAACTAAGGAAAGAAGGAATTACGGAATGACCCCATAAATTAGGTATCTATGGGAGCCTGACTGATCATCATTCTCTGGTTAGGGAACCAGGCTCTAAACATTCCCTTAAAAGAGGATCATCCCATTAAATAGAAAGGAAAGAAAAGGAGTGAGCACGCTTGCTGAACAGCCCATGTCCCAGGACCTGGGAAACAACTTGCCTTGTTTATCCTCCTCTAGCTCACTGTCACAGCATCCATCCCCTTCATCCTTCATATTGTCATCAGCATCTGCTGCCCTCTGCGACGAGGTTTCACTCTCCTTTTCAGGGTCTAAATGATCTTTTTCATCATCTGAGGGTGACTTTGACATCTCATTCATTTGATCATCAGCCTGTCCTTCTTCATTAGCTTTCTCATCTTGTTTCTCCTCATCTACTTCAAAATCTTCTTCATATTCTGAGGGGAAAAAAAATCACCACTATAAGAAGGAAAATAGAATCTCTGATACTTAACCCATTTTACTTTAATGAGAACTTTGACTCCACTACACTCTCTTCTCTGGGCCTTTCTTTGCTTCTTTTTCACACAATTACTGAACATGGAAAACCAACAGCAAATGATCAAAGATTGCAATCAGTTACATACACAAGAGCACAAAAGAAATAAAGCTCCAAATGACGAGCCTGAAACCTAATGAAAGTTCATTTACAAATGGACATCATCATCTACAATAACCAAAATAGACAAGAGAAGAACTTGATAGAAAAACAATAAATTAGAAATAAATTAAAAATGAAGAGAACAGGATTATAATAATGAAAGTTAATTTGGAGACCCAGTGAGGTCATATTTCATATGAAGACTGTTCAAAATATTTGGATATCAAGTTAATGAATAGTGAAGTGGAAAAATTCAATTAATCAAGTCCAAAGGCCCTAAGAAGTAATACTGTGAATAGCACATTCTTTGAGAACCAAATGGACATCAAGAAAAGGCATTATGAGGCATTTTATACTTAGACCAGAACCCAAATCATATGCATTATTCATCCCTACAGTCAATGAAATAATTACATTCCAAGGATAAAAAAATTCTTATAAAATAGAACATTCCTGTCACAGCTACTAATTTGCTTCATTCCCTACAGAGGTGCAACAAATCCACAGCAGAAAAAGGAAATTGTCACATCAGATAAACTCCAGCTGTCCCTTGTGGTTATGATTTTTCACCTTTCATATTTAATTGTTCCCCTTTTTCCTCCACCAAAAACTAAAAATCTTGAAATGACAACATGCCAAGGATAGAGAGCAAAAGGATTTCATGCAGAACCAATTAAGCAAATAAACAATTATCTTTAAAATAAAAATTACAGGGAAAATAAAGCTTTCCCTATTTTGTGTGTTTTAGTTATTAGACATTCTGGCTTCCTTGCCAGTGGTGGGGGCCTGTCAGGTAATTACTTAGAGCTATCCACCCTGCCCCAGTGAAAGAGACTTAATTTAGAAATGCAGGCCCCGTGCATATGAAGAAAGCTCTGTTAATGCAGAGATTGTATGAGGGAGATCTAAGGGGAAAAGTGAAATCAGAAACTTAGTGTAATGAAGAAAGGCAAACAAGGAGAATTCACAAGAATGTTTTCACAAAAGAAATTTAATATGGAGAACATGAAATGCGAATTATTATCTGCAAACCAAAATTATAAAGAAGAAGATGAAAAATTTGGTTTATAGTGTATGAAAGAAACAGGAAATACTAATAAAAACAAATATTTTTATCCAAATATTTCAGGCCAAATAATAGGATCGGTCCTCACTCGGCCCAGTCAGCTGTCAATCAATAAGCCTTTTTTGAGAAGGACTCTCCAATTTTTGTGGAGGAAATAAGATGCAAATACACAAGAGATACAGTACTCATAGTAGTTTTTATACATGGTCCTCAGTAATGTTAGTTTCATCACTACTGGGCTTGATTGCTATGGATTTTCATATAGGACTCATGATTAATTACGTGAAATAGTGTCAAATGAATGGAATGGAATTAAAAAAGGGGGGGCAGAAAGTCATTTGGAGATCGTGGAAGACTTCGTAAAAGGTGGAGTTTAGGTTAGCCACAGAACACACGGGCGTGAGAAACACATGCATCTATCACTTTACAGATATTTGCTGCTGGTCACAGGATAAGCAGGGGGCCAAGCAGAACGTGAGTGAACTGCTATAATCCACCAATAGTGTCACACAGTGGTGACATATGAGGGTTTTAGAGGCAGGCTGCCATGTGCCCAGGTCCAAGTGAAAACACTTGCTAACTATGTCACTTTACACAATTTGCTCAACATCTTCAAGGTTTAGTTTCTTCATCCGTGACGTGGTAGTGCCTGCCTCACAAAGCAGTGGTGACTATTAAAACAATAATCCCTGGAACAGGGGTGCCTGGGTGGCTCCGTTGGAGAAGCTTCTCCAGTGTCTGCTCAGGTCATGATCTCGGGGTCCTGGAATGGAGCCCATGTCGGGCTCTCTGCTCAGCGGGGAGTCTGGTTCTCCCTCTGTCCCCCACTTGTGCTCTCTCTCACTTGCTCTCTCTCTCAAATAAATAAATAAAATCTTCTAAAAAATATAATAATCATCCCTGGAACATGCTTAGTACAATGGCATGAGCAATACATGTCTAATAATTATTAGGGATTAGTAGTAATATGGGGGTGGAAGGGGTTGGTCACAGACCAAGAGAAATATACTCTAATGGAGGCACCTGATTAAAACTGGAGAAGTACAAGTGTCCACAATCAGGACACAATTACAGTTATATTATTGAAGCAGAGCATAAAATTGAAGGAACATGTACTGAACCATAAGAACAGTCCCTACATTCTGTTTTGCAGAAGCTTCTGTGTTTTCTCTCAAAGTACGAGATTCAAGGCTGCCCTGGCTTTGCTCTACCCACTACTGTCATTACACCTAAATATCATCTCTCCTTTAACCATGAGCACTCAATTAGCATGAGAGCTCAGAGCCACCTCCTTTGTGTTAGCTACTTGTGTTCTCAATCTGAGTGAACTGGTGGCATGCTTTCTGGATTCCTTTTCATAATTTCTGTTTCTCCCATCTCATCTTCCTCCTTCCAGAGAATTTAATTAGCTTGTTGTTTACCATCCCCACTAATGAGGAAGTGAGTTGACACGAGGTCGACATCAGTCCAGCCGCAACCCTCTCTCACTGACCTCCACTCAAGTTTCTTGTTGCCCTTTACCATCAGTAGATGCTCTGCAGAGAGCTGAAGCCTTGCTGCCTCTGTTTCTTCTTCTTCTTTTTTTTTTTAAAGGACAAATCCATTAACTAGCCAACACAGAGGAAAGATCTTGGGAAAAGCTACAGCATAGGCATAAAATACACTACTCATAACACTGGCCAGGTTGGTTTAAGAAAAAAAAAAATGAAGAATATAAAAGCCTCTCCTGAGCATGGCTTTAATAAACCTACAGTCTTGAAAGTTAAAACACATAAAAACGCATCCAATTTGTTCATCTCTGTGCTACTGCTATTGCTGTAGATAGTTATAAATTTTCAATCTAAGATAATAAAGACTAGAAGAGATCACAGAGAGAGAGAAACTGGGTCAAAGTGTTAGAAGTGAAATCTTTTTTAAGATGATCACATTCTTTCAGTAATAAACAAAGTCCAGTGCTATAATAGCTCTGTAATTCTTCTCTGGGATTTCTGAAACCCCTGGGCAGCAGCAAGATGAGTCGAGAAGGAGGAACAAGGGATCTGCCCCTTTCCTGATGCCAGTTCTTCCACAGGTCATCCCAGCCCACAGCTAATGGTCCTCTAATCCCAGAGCTGCCTCCTTGCTGTAAGCGGGACATGCAGGCAGCTCTCCCTTTCTGACTTTAGACATATCACCCACAACCAGGTAACATCGAGGATAGCTTGTGCAGAATAGGAGGTTGTACAGTGTGGGAAAGCCTGGGTTTTGGAATTAGACAAGCCCGGGTATTGGAGTGTGACATAGTATGCCGGCCCAGAATATGCCACTTTGGCATCCAGTTTATTTTGAGCTGAAGGCAACTGAGAAATAGTAGATACAAGAAGAGTGCTCTACCCTCCCCATATTTAGCTAAAAGCAGGACATAAACTTGTGAAGGTGTCTCCCCTCCCCTCTCTACCCAGGAAGGACAGAAGTTAATCAAAGGAGATAACTCTACACCCTTAGCAGTCCAGAAAAAACACCCGAGGAATCAGCATCACAAACCTCACTGAAACTAGCCTTTATCTAGCATTCGTTTCGCCATATATTTGCCTTCCCATAATTTGCTGCCCCAGAAGCTCAGTGCTTTTTCCTTTGTCCTGTCACTTCTCTAAAAGCGTCTTATTCTTTTGCTAAGATGCTACATAAGCCCAAGTTCTAACCACCCCCTTGAGTTACTCACCACTGAGTACTCCTGGGTGTATGTGCGATGCACATGCTAATAAATTTCTGTTTGTTTTTCCTGTTTTAATCTCTTTTGTCAGTCTCATTTACAAGGACCCAGTCAAAGAACCTAAATAGGTTGAGGAAAAAGTTTTCCTCACCTCCAGTGTAAATCCTAGTTCTGCTGCTTTCTGTCTGTGTGTCTGAGCCTCAGTTTCCTATCCCATAAAATGGAGGGAGTAATAATATCTACCACAATGAATGGTAAGGATAAAATGAAATAGTGCATGTTGAGGGCCTGGATGGCTCAGTTGGTTAAGCGTCAGACTCTTGACTTCGGTTCCGGTCATGATCCGAGGGTTGTGGGATTGAGCCCAGTGTGGGGCTCCGTGCTGGGTGTGGAGCCTCTCCCTCTCCTTCTGCCCTTCCTCACCACAGTCTCTCTCTCTTTCTAAAAAAAAAAGTACTGTGTGGAAAGCTCTGGCCCAGTGCTCAGTGCCTGGCACTTTCATTATTGGTTATTATCACTACTCTATATATGAGGGAATGAGTGTGTGTATGTGTGTGTGTGTGTGAGTGAGTGAGAGAGAGAGAGAGAGAGAGAGAGAAGCAAGGGAGGATGGGAGGAAGAAGAAAAGAACAGGAGAGGAGAGAATAACAAGGAAGGCAGACAGATCAACTCCAGGACCCCAAGCCTACGTCAACTGTTCTTACTTATGGAATACTCTTATTACTATATAAGCATATTGTGCCTACCTGATCCCAAGCATCAATTTCACCAAAGCAAGTACATTCAAATACTAAAAAAAAAAAAAAAAATGTAAAATTCTATTTGGTCAACCCCGTCTCTCTCTGCAGAAGTGAACAGAGCTTCTGGCTCACGCAGACAGAAATTCTCCTTCCCCTCCTGCCCCTGCTGGCACCTTCACCTCTGCAGAATCAGGCCTGCCCTCTGTGAGGGAGGTGACATGCAAAACAGAGGGAGAAGGTAGTCAGGGATCCCTCCATGCAACAGAACTGGCCCAAGACTGTAACTGAGCAACATTTAGTAGGTACTGTTGCACATTTCGATAAAGGCATTTTAAAGACTGAAGCAAAACAATGGCAACAACAGAAGAATTCTGTGGTATCCATTACCGTATTTAAATATATTTTCCTGGGCACCTTCCCAAACATCTTGTCCTGGTTTTCCTTTAAGTTCCATTTCTTCCACAGCTGTTCTCACTTCTACGATCCCTGATTTTTCTTCTTGAGCTGAAAAAATGACTGAAGCGGTTTTGTTCCCCTCCATCTCACTCCTTCTCGGTATCATGTACCCTCCATCCTTCCTCAGTTTCCCCTCACCCTTCTTCAGTTCTTCTCTCTTCTCCATACTCTTTTCTTTCTTAGGCTTTGGTGAAGTTGGATTTTTGTCAAGGCCCATTGCAATAATGCACCTGTGAAAAATGTAAACATAAGGTGTTTATTAACCTTTATATATAACACAATGGAACCTCAAAGCTTTTTAAATGAATTATTTCTTATTCCAGTAAGAAATATTATAAGAAATATTTTATTATAGTACACATAGTTAATTAGAATAAACTTATTTTCTCATTCATAACAAATTCTTCTAAATGAACACAAACAATTATTGATAATTTTACCCATGGTAATTTGAACAAGAAAACAAACAACTAAGAACAGTTGTCTCAAGCTAAAACTTGTGCCTTTAAAGCATGTTTTTAGCCTTATTACAGAGCCCAATAAACATATCATTCAAGTTCTTAAACGAGAATTATGTGATAAAAGAACATTCAGGTATATAAACAGGGAAGCTGAGATAAAAATAATCAGAAGAAGAAAGGCGCCATTCAGTCTTAGATAATTTGTTATTCCAACAACACAACAACAAAAGACTTCTATACAAGGTTGACTCTAAATAAATATGATTGATTTTTTAAGAAATATATACAGTCAAATGTTGTTGTGCCCTTTAAATAAACACCTCGGGAGCCTGCATGCTTATTTTAATAGAACTGTCATCATTGTTTTAGAATGGCCTTTTGAAGCCTGTACAACAATCTTTTGGTGACTTTTCCTGGCAATAAGCTTTCATTCTTTGGAGATGGCAATAATTTGTAGAGGTCATGAAGTCATTCAAAGTCAAATCTGGTGAAACAAGCCGATGATCTGAATATATTAAGACATTAAAAAATATTTGAAAAATCAGTCATAACAAAAGTAACATGAATAAATCCTTCTATAGCTTTTTTCCTATCTCTCAAGTTAATATTCAAATAAGAATTCCAATTATGATAATAATACATATACATACAATAATATGTACAATAATATTGTACAATAATGTACAATAATACATTAATAAAAATATGATTATGCTAATAGTAAGATGATTGAGCGACACATTAAGAACTATCATCACAACTTGACAAAGGAGAAAACTGAGGCTGGCAGGCCTCAATGCCTTGCCCAAGCTCACCCAGCAGGTTAGGGATGGATCTGGATCCTGGCTCAGGGTTGCTAGACTCCATCCCCTCACAACGAGGTACAAAGATATTGTTAGATTACAGGTGTAGCCCTCCCAGAAGGACAGCTCCACGGACAGATGTTACACTGCAGGGCTTCCCACCAGGGAAAGTGCTCACACTCTTCACTAGAAACTAACAAAACCTGGAGAAGTTCGCACCAAGGCCTAGAGATGATCCGTGACCTGAGAAAAGTGCCTGGCAACTGTCAGCCTCCACCAGCCTCCTCCTCTAGAACTACCTGCATCCCCTTCCCTACACAACTTAGTGGGAAACTGAATCAATAGAGCACACAGGTGAAAACAGATCCAAATGTAGTCAAGATGTATCCAACCAGGAAGAACAGAAATGATATGTAAAATTTGAAAACTGCCTCAGTGTGAATTAGATCTAATGGCAATTTCTTGAGCTAAAGATTTCACTGAATTTCAGCCATCCCCAGTCTAGAAATAGCATAGGAATCAATCCTCTCAGCTTATGAGAACTTAGTTATATCACTTATCTTTTCAATATCCCCCCATTAAATAAAGGATTTGCACTCAAAGTAACTATCAGGCTGTAAAAAATGAGATAATAAGAATACACTTACCTCCCCCATATTAAGCATGATAAATGTTTCTTGCCTGTAATGATGATGTACTTAGCACACTGCTTTCCTTGGAATAAAGGTGTCATGAATCTTCACAGAATATGATTACTAGCATTGCCTTCTGTTCAAGCTCTTCTTCCCTTATCAATGGCAACACCAAATCCATCGATTTGGAGCGTCTGATCTGCTGTTACTTTTGGTTTATGTTGGACTACGTAGAGGCTTTGATGCCTCCCTACTGCACGCACAGACTTTTTATTGCCCATCTGCTTAGGGGAATTGGATGAACAAAGTGAGCTACATCTGTGCTCTCCTCGTCACTGACTACCTATTTGACTTCTGAGTATAATTTGAGGTGTTGATTCTGATTACTAAAGCTCAACGCAGTCTGCATTCTACTTGGCTAGGCAATTCTTCCTTCTGTGCTTCACTCTAGCAACTGAAAATAACTACCTTGTCTCTTCAGTTGCCATGACTGAGGGGTGGGTACAAGTGTGCAACCTCCACACTTAGGCGTGACCACTGCTGAGCCTTTCTTGTTTTCTGAAGACCTTAAACAGGTAATTCCTAATCATTTTTAGAACTAGAACTCCCTATTGTTGTTTTAAATAATTCCCTCCTCATATCAAAAGTTCCAGAGCCAGTACTTTTAAAAATGAATGAAAATTAATTTCTTTTTTAACAAATTAGAGGCATTCATGTACACCCCTTAAAATAATTAAAAGTATCATGGATGTGACCCCCAAAAAGGTTATATAATATTATAAGTGAATTATGTTATATTTTATAAATATTTATTTTATATTTATATTATATAAATAAATTTTTAAAAAAGTTAACAGACCTAACAGGCCTTACTCTTTAATATCACAACCTTTTTATTTTTATTATTTGAAAAGGTCAAAGAAAGAAGGTAGAGGGAATCAAATGAAATCATATAAAAATTGTGCATAAGGTAATAAGTGTTAAATAGGAAAGTAGATGTCATCAATCAGATTTTAGTACTGATTGTTAAACCTCCAAAGAAAGTGTTTACAACCAAACATTTGCAGCTTGGATTTATACAGCAACTCTCAAAGAATGCAATGTGTTTGTGCATGGATGACTGTATATTATAAGCTCATTAGCTTTCCTGGGAGGCAAAGAGAAATTTGTTAAATGACTTGCCCACAAATATGGAGAAAGTATATTTCAGTTGGAATAGGAAAACAGCCTCAGGTGGGTCCTAAGTACATCTGGGCACTCCTACTATATTGCTCTAGACCATTCACTGTCCCACTTGCTGGATGACTCTTTCACACCTTTTCTCCCCCCTAAAACCTCCAATGCCTTCTTCCTTAAGCCTTAACCTCAGCTGATAAATTCTTGGTTGACTGAAAATACAGAAACAATCAGCAGAGAACTTCCAGTTGATCCCAACACTTCCATCTGACACATATTAATTGGTTTACTTGCTATTTGCCTTTGCCCCATTAGAATGGGCTCCACAAGGGTAGGAACTTTGGGTGGTTCACTCCTGTTTTCTAGCTTGGCATATATCAATTTTCCATGAGTACTTTCAGAAAAAAATTAAAGAAAGCCTACAAGCAAGTGTCCTAATTTCAAACAGAATGTCCAATATGAAAGCTGATAAGCAATAGTCAAAATTGACCCTTTATCATGCATCTCGTTATGCCTGAGATTAAAACTAGGGGCATGAGAATGATAACCAGGCCACACCATAATGCAAGCATGACCTGTCACACCCAACCATATAAGACAGATGCTTAGCACATGCTTCGGGACTCCCAAACCAGTTCCTAAGAAGAATGAGAATAAAACACCCTCTCTCCTTCACTTCAGAAACAGAACTTAAAGCAGTATGAGGAAAGGGAGAGAGAGAGAGAAACAGAATTTGGAACACCACCAGCTTTTATCCCCATGATAGAATACATCTGGAAATCTAACTTAGATCTAATAATTTCAAACACAACACACCGGTTATAATAAGCAACCGTTAACTTAGACATTTTGGGCTCATCTACACTGATAGCTTTGTTAACAAACTGTGCTGAGAAATGCATCAGTAGAAGCATAAAGAGGAAAATGTAGCAAACGTGCCCTCTACCAAAGGACACTGGTTTCCATACTTGTAACAAGGAGATGATCTCTGCACGCACACAAACCCGAAGTAGCCTCGTTTGCCTCCAAGTCTGGAACCTTTCCGATGCTTATATTCACAGCAGGAGCTTAACCTGTTCACCTGCATCCCATTCAGGAAAAAGGTGAGACTGAAGGGGAAACCATGGTGCCTTTTGGAAACAAACTGAAAGGTCTCTGGAATTAAAAAAGTAAATACATCAGTGAAAGCAACTGACTTTGGACTAATATATTCAAAATCACATTTTTCTATTAGGTAAGTACAATATTATGCTCTAGATCACCTTTTTAACTTGAGGACAATTTTTAATCATAAAAACACATGCTATTATTTTTATTTACAATAAATACTCCAAGGCATTATAAAACTCTGATTTGTAATAAAATAATAACATTTATGAGCTCTTACTATGGCCAGGCATTATGCCCGATAATCTTGGGTGTGTTATTTCTCAACAAACACATGAAGTTTAGAGAATATTATTATCACTAGTTTCTATATGCAGAAATTAAAGTTCAAGCGAACTCAGTCATTTATCCAAGATCATACAGTAAGTAAGGGAGACAGTAGCTCTCTAGATTTCATCTTGCTATTTAGCTACTGATAAAGTATATGGCAAGAGGCTACTGTGAGCTCAGTAATGCTTTTAAATAAATGTGTATTTTTAGCTATGACTTGAACCAGCCTAATACATATATGGATGAGGTAGAATTATTCCATCTCAAATCCATTCTCAGTTCTGCCTGGATTTGGGTCCCCTTCTTGTTCCCCTGCCCACCCAAAAGTCCCACCAAAAAAATAAGAACCACTGCTTGGAGTTAATAATTTTTAATCATCCAAAGTCTTTTTATAATGCTCTTCGGAAAGGTCTCACCCTAGAGATCCCAAATTCTAGGTCTAAGAAAACTCTATGTTACAGAGTGACTCAGAAACCTGCTTTTCATGACAGTTCTAATGTCACTTCCTACAAAACAAGTCTCTCTGGACTCTTCCACTTGCACAAGTGATGGAGTTGATCATTTCATCTCTCTGTTCTGTACACCTTTCTTGTTGTTGCTGTTATTACAATTGTTTAAAAATATGGCAATACCAGGACTTCTCAAACTTTAGTGTGCGTCAGAATACCCTGAAAGGCTTATTATATAACACAGGTTGCTGGGCTTCACCCCAGAGTTTCTGATTCACTAGGGCCTAAGAATTTGCATTCCTGTTAAATTGTCAGGTGATGCTTGAGCTTCTGGGTCCAGGAACCTGACTTTGAGAACCCTGATGTAGATGTCTGCAGTCCGGCATGTTTGTGAAATCCATGAGAGCTGGAACTGGTCTGACTCATCCTTGTTTCCCCAGGTCCCAGGACAATGGCATAGGAGGCCCCCAATAACTAACTAATAAATTATTATTTTAACCTATTTCATAGTCATCTAGAAATACTATGTTTATACCACACTCTGCCCCTAAAAACTACCTAGATCAGTTGCCACTTGTACTAAAGAATAAAATTACTGGAAAGGTAATTCCATCATTTATACCTTAGTATTTGTGAAGTAAAATTCAAACACACAAGGGAAGAGAAAATTGAAAATTTAGCATCTGGGGAAACTAAGATAAAACAGATTTAAAAATCCGCCTGTCTTAATGATATATGGACTCCTAAGTATTGACTAGAAAGCGAGTTTGACTGCTTTCTTTCCAGAAACTTGAATTGGACATTCATGTCATATGATCTATTCTGCTGCGGCATCACATCCCCTAACTACCTGAGGTCCCAGCCCAGGAAGAGGGTGCAGCTAAGGAAATGCTGAGAACTGGCGCAGGAGGTGGACTTCTCGAGGTGACTGCCCTTCCACCGTGTAGCCAGCCATGTGGCTAGAGAGTGCATCCACCTATTATTCCATTCCTTTCTCTTTTTTTTCAAACTTAATAAGAATTGACACCCTCTGCTTTTCTTCCCTTGTTATTACTTTTTTAATTTTGTATTTTAAAATTTAGTGACACTTTCCAACCCTGACTTAATGGTTTCTGCATGGAATAATGGAAATAATATAGACCAGAGTTCAGAAGATTTGGGTCCTTGTCCTAGTTCTTCACATATAAGTTGAGTGTCCCTTGGTAGGTCACTGGACTGTTGCACTTCAGAATTCTCATATAAAATGAGGATGGCCATGGGAGGGGGTGAAGGAGTTGGGTGGAGGGAGCGATCCAGTCTACCCACTTCACTGAGTAGCCTCACAGACTATATAATGTACAGTGTTAGAAGGCATTCTACACTATTTGTAAAACGTGGTTATTCATTGTTGACTGGCAGTGGCTCGCACTGTTTTAGGCACTAAGAGGAACTAGAAAACCTGGTGGAAAATAAAAGTTAAAGCAGACCTGAAAACTGCCTGAACTTTGGATGGACTCCTGAACCCGTTACTTTGGGTTGAATATTGCCCTCTAAAAATCCATGACCACCCAGAACCTCAGAATGTGACCTTATCTGGAAATAGGGTCTCTGCAGATACAAGTAGTGAAGGATCAAGATGAAATCATCCTGGATGTGTTTTGTCGATCAAATTCAATGACTGACATACTTATAAGAAGAGGACAGGACACACACAGAGACACACAGGGAAGAATGACACATGAGGACAGAGGACGTAGAGGTGGGAGCGCTGGGTTATAAACCAGGGAATGCCATGGATTGCTGGGAATCACCAGAAGTTGAAAGAGACAAGGGAAGATTCTCCCCTAGAGTTATTAGATGGAGGATGGCCTGCTAATAATACCTGATTTTAGATGTCTGGCCTCCAGAACTGTGTGAGAATTAAATTTCTGTTGTTTTAAGCCACCAGTTTTGGGGATTTGTTACATTAGCCCCAGGAAAGGAATACACCCACACACAGATCCATGGTACAAGGTGGGGGCTGTACTTTATTCAAAGTCTTCTGACTTTGTACTGGGTCAAAGTCTTTGAACACAACCTCTGACAAATCACTAGAGATCAATAAACTATGAAAACAGAGACAACCCAAGGAGGCCAGCCTAAAAAATAAAAAGAGATAAAATCTAAGCAGAGACACTACGCTGGCTGTCTACCAAGGAGAGGGGGCGTGGATTTCATGAATTTCAGAGAAGTTACTAAACAGACAACAACAAAAAAGAGTGAGAACAATAACCTTCAAGAGGAAGAAGTCAGAATCCAGAATCCACAGTTGCTGTAATACATGATTGAAAATGTCCAGTTTTCAACAACAAAAAAAAATCAAAAGACATGTATGTAAGAAGCAGAAAAGTGTGGGCCATATTCGGGGGGGAAAAAGCCATCAAATCCACTCCTAGGCATCTGCTCAAGAGAAATGACCAGATGTCTACACAAAAACTTGTATCTGTATATTCATCACAGCATGATTTATAATGGTCCCAAATTAGAAACAGTATAAATGGACATGTAGTGGATGGAATACATTCAGTGGTATAAGAAGAGGGCAACCATTGATAACGGCTGTGAATAGATGACTCTCAGAAACATCAGGCTAAGTGAAAGAAGCAAGACACAGATGCTGCCTATTGTATGATTTCATTTATACGAAATGTCCAGAAAAGACATATCCGTAGAGACTGGAAGCAGATCAGTGGCTGCCTGAGGCTGGCTACAGAGAGTGAGGATTCTTTGCCAATGGGCACAAGGGAACTTTCTGAAGTGACAGAGATCCTAAAACTGGTTTGTGCCAATGGCTGCACAACCCTATAAAATGCTTAAAAATCAGTGCATTGTACACTCACCATGGGTGAATTGTGGAATATAAGTTACACCTCAATAAGCATATTTCTAAAAACTAAAAACTCAATATATATAACAAGTAAAAGAAAAATAAAAAACAGTTACTCTAAGTCACATTGTAATGAAATGCTTCGGGTTTCAGGGGAGAGTCAGAGCCCCGGCCATGGAGAGAGGGATGAAACAGCAGAAGTCGGCTGAGAGAGCCTCATAGCCTCAATGTGAATCTTAAGAGATGGATAAAATTTGAATTTAAAATCCTATCTTGAATTTAAAATCCTTTGTCCTATTGCAGACAAAGGAATAGTGCTCCAAAAGACAAGATAACAGCACGGGGTTGGGGAACCAGTGAAGCAGCTGGTTTGTGAGGGAGTGACGAGGAATGCACAAATCGGTACAAAGGATCAGGTTATGAAAATACAGGAAAATGGGGCAGAAAAGGAAGGGATTATAAGAGGGTCAGAAAGAAGAAAAGTTACTTTGCTCTTTGTATCCACATGAACCCAGGAGGCCAAGGTTTGCCTTGTTTGAAAGGATGAACATGGTAAATAAAACTGCCTGTGAAGAACTGTACTCTTTACAAGTAGCAGAAATACTCGGTGACTGCATAGGTGTATATAATAAACGATCAATATGTGGCTTGATGTCTAAAATCAAACTGTAAGACATCAATGAATTACTAGGGGAATAAAAGATGCACTTGCCACATTCCTAAATAATTAATTTTATTGTTATTTCTCATCCAAAAGCAAGACAAATTAACGAACGCCACATTTTTAATTAGTTTACTGCTCCAAGCAGAACGCTAAACGCCTTTTTTTTTTTTAAACAGAACTCTTCTAAAAACCTATTCACATTTCACTGAATCATGCACAGCTTTGATTTGTAAAACGGGCAGATTCTTTTCAGCCCAGCTAAATTGCTAAGATTGCTGAACCACAAGTCAACTCTGAGCCACCCAACTTTTCAATTTTCAACAATTACTTTCCTGGCAATCAAAGGGCAAGCTGAGACAAAATTATTATGTGGACAGGATTCAATTATTTAAGTCCCCATTCCATTCTGTTATTTAATTCTGTCCAATGACATAACAAAAGTCAGTCCCAGGATCAATAGGTATGCAAAACAACACTTAGCCAAGTAACACTCTCCCTTACTCTTTGGTTTTGCGCTGTTACCACAGAGTATATGTGGTCTTCCTGAAAACATTCAGCTAGCGAAGCCTTGTTCTTATTTCATTTTTATGTACCATGTTTTCCAGCAGGCAAATAGACATACATGCACTGTCTTGAAGAAAGCGTGATCCAAGACCCAGGAAAAGTTTCATTACGTTCATTCCAATTGTAGACTATAGCTATTTTCAGCAATTCTTCTATATTAATACTTGAAAGCTACACTTTCAAAAATTAAGTGTATCTATGCCACTATCATTAGGGATTTCCTACCTCTCATATTATGAAAATGTAGGAAACCCTTTGCCACTAAGAACAGCTAACTGAGCAAGGGTCCTGCACCTACTCAGAGGTCCAGGATCTGCTCTTGACCAGGCCCCAAGCTGTGCGTGCGACCTTAGGAAGCCATTTCACCTCTGGACTTCTCTCATTTTCCTCATCTACAAAATGGCAGGAATGAACTCTCAAATGCTATGACAAAATGGCAAAGTAAATTACATTTCAGCCAGGTACACAAAATGGGGAAAAATAGTTTCTAGCATTATTTTTTATAAATAAGTTTTATAAATCTTTATAAAGTTAAAACATTCAAATGTTTACTCTTTCTTATGTTGGAAAGTTTTAAATATTTAAACCCTAAATCTGTCTAGTTTCTTTTTAAGTACTTAAAATTTTTAGAATTAACAGTCACAATTTTTGAGTGATGAGGGAAAGCAGAAAAGCCAAAAGTAACAATTCCATTCTTGCCCCTAACTCCTAAGACTCCCTAAACTTGTATCAAGATTGCCCAAATATAAATAATTCTTTTACTTAGTAAAAATGCAATTGCTTTCTAAACAGAGTTTCTTAAGCAAAGAAATAACAAATATAATCCTATAACAACTTGTCCTTTTAATTGCTATTCCACACAACTAAATATTGATGAAAACCACTTCAGTACAATATGTGAAACCCTATATTGGATATAAAAATTATCTTCTGCTAAGAAACATGGATTTATGATCAAATGAAAGCAGAAATGTACTAAAATCCATCTAGCCAAATTCCGCACCAAGTTATTTAGGTGTGATTCACCCTGAAGTTTATTGGATTTGTGATTTTATCTCAACATTTTTCTAAAGAACAAATTGCCAATCTGGTATTTTTCCCTTAGAATAACGTATGATATAATTCACTATGGCAGGCCAAATAGTTAACTTGTAATTTGGGGGACAGTTTATTCATGCAACATTTTAATGATCATATATCTCTATCCCAAAATTAATCTGTTACCGGGTTAAATCACTCCAAATTCTTTCTTCCACAATCTGCAAGAGTAATTGCTGCTTCGGTTTCAATCATGGAGCAGTAAATCTAGATTTACTTTGAGGCAGCTGGTTTATAAGTCCCTGGATATGCATAATTTCAGAGTGATTGAAATCATTTTGATATGATATCAACGATAGTTTATCTATAGCATCAACTTTAAGCAACTTAAAAAAATTCAAATTTTATATGTACCTTTTTCAAGTAGTTTGCCTTTGTAGACACAAAGGTTTTCCCCACCACAATGCTGTTGATAAACTTTTATTTCATCCCGAAAGTCTGGGTGATCATGAGACAGGTGCACAGTTTTCCCCAAATAGATCATTGTAATAGCTGCATTACTGTGTGGTGGTGTTTTATGAATCTTTCTTGAATCCTAGAATCAACAAAAGAAGGGGGCTTATTAATTAATTACCTTCTAATCAGAGAGAAATGATACTGTAATAGGAAGAGTAGAAAAGGCTCCTCCCTAGCAATAAAACCTTGATAAAATGTCAATCTTCCTAGTGTACAAAAAGTCAAGCCAGTTACCAAAGAAATCTCTCTAACAATTATATGCTTTTTGGCTTTGTATTTTTAATATAAACGCCAGGGATCTGGACAAAGTTTGTCACTTTTTATTTTACCTGTGTGTGATATTTTACATATCAGTGACACTAAGAGGAAACCGCTCTTGGTTCTTTCAGCTGGTTCTCAGATAAAGATTCAAATCAAATTAATTAAATATTGGTGACATAATTTTGTTCTAATTTGATTGATTTTGTGCTTTAGCAACTGTTTTTTGCAATTGAGTGCTTTATCTTTACACTTGAGCACTGACAATGTATCCTTCCCTGATCTTCTTCTATGTGAGAGGGGGATGGCACACGTTTGATTCCTTCTAGGGTCACTCTGAGGATTAGAGATGTGTGTTACATGCCTAGGACTATCCATCTTTACAGGAAGCATTCATTCAATGAAAAACCAACATTATTAATATTATTTCTCATATCAAACAGTAACAGTAAACTCAACAACAAGAGCAAGAACAAAAACCCTGTTCTATGGTGTTCACACATTCATTTATAAAATAAACAATGAATTGATATGCCAGAGATGAAAAGAAATGTCCTCTGCCTGGCCTCCTCATTTATATTCTGGAGTATTTTCACAAGAGCGAATGAGCAAAGTGTTTATCTAACCTCTAAAAGGAAGAGGAGGAAAAAAGCAGGAAAAGGAAGACAAGGAGGCAGAGAAACAGTCACGGCTGGTTGAGAGACTTCCAGGAGAGCCTAGTAAGAATATTGTCGGCTCAAGGATTATACAGAGGCCAGGCAATACTTTTAATCTACTTCACGTTTCTAAAAATCAATTTTCAAACTAAATGAAAAACGTGAAGAGACCAACTTTCAGTGAATTCAGAGCAATTATTTGCATTTGATTTCATTGAATTATTGGTGCCTTGGAAACATGCATTTTTTTTTTAAATAACAAAGCTGCAACAAAAATTTCGGAAGGAACTACTGAAATATTTCCATCTCCAAACCCGTCCCCTTCCACTTCAGAGGATTTTTTTTTTTTCTAATTCAATTCCATTTCTCTGAAGCAAAAACCAGAGGAAGTAAATCTGATTACATGAAATTCTGCAAACGACAGGCTGAAAAATGTAAACGGGGAAGGAAGTCCAAAATTTAAAATTTAAGTAAATTGTCTTGCCTGTGGCAAACCGAGCTCCCAAATAGAGAGGTAATCAACAATATTTCAGGGACGTCAGTAGCCATGAAGGTAAATCAGCAACCTGGATAATTCTTTGCAGATTAGAAACATCTCCCTGAGTCCCAGCTGAAAGCAAAGGGATGATGGCAGGCCTGGCACCAAGTTGGAAAATCATGCCATATTTGCTCTTGCCTGGGCGGCTGTGCAGCTCGACGTGCATTTGTGCAGCCCAGCACACAATCACTGCCTACGGCAAATCCGGCTCCCAGCTCCCACTAGAACATTTAATGATAGGACGGATTAAATAAGAGCGCCTCCTTTTTTGTTAAGCAATACTTTCCAAAGTGGCATGGATTCAGAGGTAGCCCTGTGAGCTTCTGGGAGATAAGCTCTTTATAAATGCAAGGTAATAGTGAGATTAGGGTGGAGGAAAAGCCTGCCTCATATGTACAAAATGAGGAAGGAGAAGTTGAAATGTTTAAAAGTAAAATAAAGGAAATGACAGCTCTTCACCTTTTCATTTACTCTTAATCATTTTTTTTTTCTGCCAAAGTGTGTTCCTGACAGCAACATCTCTTTTCTCTTGGGTCTAGTTACTTCGTTCTTTTTAAAAATATTCCCCAATTATTGCCACCATGTAACCTTTTCTGGATTCTAACAGGAGTCCCAAGTGACAGCTCATGATTAAATACATGCACTAGGAAATGAACAATTGTTTCTTTCAGTTGACTAAATTGCCTCTATACTTACCATCTTCCAAGGTTATAAGGACCCAGAATGATGAAACTTTAGCAAGATTTCATGGCCCTTTCTGCCGTCCTCCAGCAGGTATCAAAACCTTCCATGAGAATTCAGTTCCATTTCAGGAACTGGAGCAGGGCGTCATGCCCACGCATGACTAAGGCTTATCTTTCTTACTTTCTGCACCACTTGCTTACAACTTTCCTTCTCATTTCTTTTCAGTTATCTCAGGCAAGTACAATCTGAGCTGACAAATAAACAGCAAGCTGGTTGAGTGGTTAACCGGTCAGTTATTACATATTTGCAATATTTAGCATTCAATTGATATACTAAATTTTCACTGAGATCTTTTATCTGTGCTTAGGCCTAAATTGGGGGGGGTGGATTTAAGAGACTATAAGGGTGTCAGAGGGCCTGTTCTTGCTGATAGTGTTGGGCAGCAATTCCTTTTCGTCCACTTAGCTAAGCCCTGATGAACTCCGGGCATCATGGAGTCTTACCTAGACCCCTGCAATAAATATCTGGTTAGTAGGGCGGCCACAGAATTTCTCATCCAACCTGGGAGACATAGTGAAAGAGATATTATTAATAATTATACTAGAAGAAAAACCCCACAAATTTAAACTGTTCCAGGAAAGCTGAGATGCATAGTCACTCTACTAGCTGGTCTCCCCACTTCTAGCCTGGTATCTCCCCAAATCTCCTTCCTCCTGCATATGAGAGTGAACTATTACCACTAAATAGATCATGTGACTCTCCTCCTGAAAGTCTTCCAACAATCCCCAATATCCATGGGATAAGGTTCAACCTTCCTCAAATAACAAAAAAAAAAGTCTTATATTTTCAACTCCTCCTATCTCTCAACTATTTGCAATTTCTTTTGATACATTTAAAGGTCCAGCAGCTGCATAATTGGAGTAGCCCAAACACTACCCACGTGTTTTTAATCTCCAGACCCATATAACTCTGTAAGTCACATGGCCTTGAAACTATTCCCTTGTATTCCTCTCACTCTCAGTAGATAAAGACAGTATCTTACTGATCTTTATGCCCCCGGTGTCTTGCCAGTGCTTACACCTAGCCAGGGCCTAATAAACATTGATCTGACTGGACACAGACATGGAACAATTAGGGATTCCACATTCTGTCCTTTGCTGAAACAAAAGCGGCAGTAAGTCGACCCCGCCCTACATCAGAAGCTTTCTGCATTTATAGGAACTCGATAGGCACCACAACATGAAAACTAATTCATAGTGTCCTGTTGAACAACACCTTTGACAAAGATTGATTAAAAGCCTGTACAGCATAATAAAAATAAAATTAAAAAAAAAAAAGAAACAAGGCAGAGGATCAAAGGGCAAGAGAGGGAAAAATGAAACAATGAAACCATAAGAGACTCTTGATCATAGGAAACAAACTAAGGGTTGCTGGAGGGGAGGGGGGTGGAGGGCTGGGGTAACCAGGTGATGGACACTGGGGAGGGTATGCGATGTAATGAGCACTGATGGTATTATATAAGACCGATGAGTCACAGACCTGTACCCCTGAAATAAATAATATATGTTAATTAATTGAATTTTTTAAAAAGGTAAAAAAACACATGAATCATGGGAATAAAGGGCACAGCATAGGGAATATAGCCAGATATTGTAATAGCATGGTACGGTGACAGACAGCAGCTAGACTTGTGGTGAGCAGAGCATACTGTATAGAGAAGTTGGGTCACTATGTTGTACGCCTGAAACTAATGTAATAATGTGTGTCAATTATACTCAAATAAAAAATTATTTGGGGAAAAAAAAAAAAGCCTGTGTAAGGAGCATCAGGCAATTGCCGTGTTGACTCTGATTCAGGCCTCAGGGGGGAGAAAGTTCCGCAATGAGCCAGAGGAAGAGAAGAGCATGCCAGTGTTCGCTTCCTCAGGCTTCAAGAAGCCCCGGTTGTAACAGAAACTTCTCTCTATACTCATTTGGTTCCTCTCCTTCTCTTCTTTATCATGCTGGTTTTTCCTTGTTCTCTCCTCCTCCCTCCTTTGCTTTTCCTATGCTTCCTCTTCTCACTCTCCTCCCACCCATTCTTCCTACCACGGCATAACCCGCGTCTCATGCTTATTCCTGGTCTGCCCCCCAGTGCCCCCATCCTCCTGGAGGTATCGGAGCTCCAGGCTTTGAGGATGCTGAGCTGACACAGGAGCCTTCCCTTCCTCATCTCCCTCAGTAGAATAAATTCAGTAAGTCTGCTCAGAGGTAGAAATTATCCAGCTGCATTTTGCTTGTGTTAAGAGGCTCTGAAAAGCTTACGAGGTCTGCCCTTAAACTCCTACTGCTGCAGACCCCCAGAAGCATCTTTAGTTCTTTCTCTCATCTATTGTTTAATTCTGCAATACCAGCTGCTAAGATATTTTGACTGTTGAATTGACATTTAAATCATTTTTCAAGTCCTTTCTAGTAAAGTAGTTACCAAACTGCAATGTTAATTTTAAGCAAAAACATTGTTGAATGGAAAGCGCCTGAAATAAATCAAGCCTATATGAGATATGTTGAATTACCCTATATTAAAGTCATGCTGATGCTTTCCTTTTTCATTCTCAAATCTGGGTCTACTGGTGAGGAAAACCAAGAGTAAAAAATACCAAGATAATACATTGACTAAGATGGAAATTTTCAAAAAATATTTTTAAAATAAAGTCAAACAAAAGAAATATGCAATCTCTCTGGCAAAACTAATATTTGTTAGGCTCTATTTGTTGTTGAAGAAAAGGGATCTATGCCTGAAAGGCATAATTTATTTCCATAATATTTACATAAATTAAATAATATAATTAAGAGTTTAATTTTTTGCATGGATCACAAAGTAATACCTGTTTATGAACACAGTACTAATAAACACTTGATTAAATGTAAGTAAAATCAAATGCCTGCCCTCAACGAGCTTCATAAT